AGCATCTTTTAAGTCAATTACACTGTACCAAGTGTCCTCGGGAGTGAGATTGTTCAGCAATGTGTAAGGGTTTGAAACTGTGGGGAACAAAGTCTTAGTCCTCTGTTTCACAGCCCGTAAATCCTGCACCAGCCTAAAGCTGCCATCTGTTTTTCTCACCGCCAGAATTGGGGTGTTGTGCCTTGACATGCAGGGCTCCAGTGTGCCTTTCTTTATTAATTCATCAATCACTGGTTTCAAACCCCTCCTCCCTTCCATGGGGTTGGGATATTGTTTGACCCATATGGGGTCTTCTGGTCTTTCACTTTCAACCCAAATTGGTTCTATGTCCAGCCTCCCAGCTTCCCCTGGAACATACCACACCCTCGGGTCTAGTTTTTTCTCTTCTGGAACAGTGAGGTTTTAAAGTCTCACCTTGAGCCAAGGTTTTTCCTCCACCAACCCAATCCCCAGGGCCACCATCATGTCCCGCCCCAGCAAATTAAAGTCCGCACCCTTGGCCAATAAAATATTTCCGCTGTGTTTTCTGTTTCCTGTGTCTATTTCTATGATTTTTATGATTGGAACTTCCAAAGGATCCCCTTTTGCCCCAGTTACCATCATAGAGTCATTGCTCATAGAGCACCCCTTTGCTAACTGTAGCACTGTTGTCCATTCCTCCCCCAATCCACCATAAACCACGTCACTTCTTTGTGAGGTCCCACTCTTAATTTTACCAAGAGCTCCCTCGACGTTCCGGACCCCAAACTGAAAAGTCCCTGACACCCCTAATCTTCCTGGAACATTGCCTAGTCCTTGGCTTTGTTGGGACAATTCTGTTTGATGTGCCCCTTCTGTTTGCAGTAAAAGCACTCAACATCCCGCTTCTGTTCGCCCGAGCCCCTCCCCTGGGATGGACTCAGTTTCTTTGCTGGCGCCTTTTTCACTGTGTCCTTCCCCTGTTCCTGCTTCTGAGCCTCCCTTACTGCTGCCACGAGAACCTTGGCTTGAATCTTTTGTTTTTCCTCATCCCAACGCATGTATACTTTCTGGGCTTCCCTTAGCAGTTCTTGTAACCCCTGCTCTTGCCACCCATCTATTTTCTCTAGTTTTTTCCGAATGTCCTCCCAGGATTTCACCACGAACTGTGTTTTTAACAACACCATTCCCACTGGGGAATCAGGGTCTGTTCCTGAGTACATTCTCAGACCCTTTCGGAGTTTTTCCAACCACTCCGTGGGGGTTTTGTCTTTCCCTTGACATTCCCAGAGCATCTTGCTCATGTTCTGCCCTTTCAGTACCGCCTCCCGGATACCTTGAATAACCATATTTCTTAAATTTATCACCTTTGCCTCCCCTCTTCTGTCTGGGCTTCCCAAGACGGCTTCTGGTTTGGCCACCGTTCCTCCCCAGCCCCCCCATTTGGGTTCCATTTTTCCTAATCCTTGATCGCAGCTAACCGGATCATATCTCTCTCTTTGTTGTTACATAGTGATCTTAAGATCGCTTGGAGATCGTCATAGGTGTATATGCTGGTTCCCAAAAACTCATCCAACCTCTCCACCACCCCCAAAGGATCATCCATTAATTTTCCCATTTCCGTTTTGAATGCCCTCACATCACTGGTGTCGATCGGGGTGGGGGTGTGCATGTATCCAATCACCCTCAGAGCTGTCAGCACCTCCCATAAGGGATAGATGCCGGGTTTTTCCTCCTTGTCCTCACTTTCCCCCATGGTCGCCCTCCTCGTTCTCCGCCTTGTCTGACGTGCCAGGTGAGAGACGTCCCTAGAGATGTCTACCTTTCCTTCCTCAATTTTCAGAGATGCCTGTGGCAGCAGCTGTGCTGCCGCCGTGTGGCCATGTGGGAAAGCAGATGCCGCCACCTGCTCTGGTGGCGGCAGCGGTGCGGTCGCCTGAGCTTGCGGAGCCCCCATGTCAGGAGGCATTCCTGGTGCCGCTGGTGCCTGAGTGGGATCAGGCTGCTGCGGGGCCACAAGGCAGGGGGGTGGAAGATTTTCCAATGGTTCCCATTCCCTCCCTGTTTTTGCCACGTGCTGGAGAGCTCGTACCGGGTGTAGACCCAAACAAGCATGTCTCCACATGTCAGCGTACTCAATTTCCTCAGTCAGGATCCAGTGGGCTGCGACCGGCCATGTCGCAGTCAAACAAAGACAAGTCCAGGTTTTGAATGTGCTGAATATTGACCAGAATCACGTATTTTCCAATCTCCTTCCCTCCCCATTTTTCCGTAGAAAAATGGATCATTTTCTCCTTGGACTTCCCCACCCTCTGCGGGTTTTCATCCCAGTGCTCCAGCATCCACCCCAAGGAACTATCTCTGGGGATTTCTGGTAGAATTCTTCCAGGGACTTGGGAGGGGTTTTCCTGAGTTTTTTCTGGTGTCTGCTGTTTCCCAACCCCATTTTCTCAAGGAATGTTACAATTTTTCTTACCTTCTCTTGTTTCACCGGGACATCCGTCACAGGTCCCGTCTCTCTCTCAATGTTGGGTTTTCTGGCTCACGAAAAGCCGCCAGCCTGACCAAGTCAAACAGCGAACCACTCTGCCAACTTTTTGGGCTGTTGTTCTTACCTGCTTCCTCCAGTTTCAGAAGGCAGACGGGTTCCCAGAAGTTTCCAGGCTCCTGATCCCAACCGTGACCGGTTTTCCCCCTAGACTCCCCCCGAGTCCCGGGTCTCGTGTGTTTCGAACAAAGAGCCTTGCACTTCCCTCTCAACCGATCACGTCCCTCGTGGGATGGTGAAACTGCGGTCTTGGGGTCCGCACTCACCTCGTGACAAAGTCACATCTCACACACTTGTCCGATCACGCTCCACCCAACCACACAGTACTTACGGTTATTTTTCTTGTGTGGATCTCTTCGTGCACGTTGAGTTTTACGAGTGAAAAAACCTCGGGTGTCGGAAATCTCTCTAGATCTTTCCGAGCTTTGCCAAGAATTGGGCCCTCTGTCTCCCTTGGCTGTGGTTCTGGTTGCAGCACGTGGCTCCGGTTACGGTTCGCAGCTCCAGTTGCAGCTCTTTGGGGATGTGATTGGTTTTTCAGAATCCAATCCTGCTTGGGCCGCTGAAATCAGCGGGGCACCCCCTGGGTGGGAAAGGGGTTCCTGAACCCCAGTATTAGATCACGTCGGGCTTGTCACCAAATTGTTATAAATGGTCAAATCGGAAACCAAATTTATAAGAAAATTTAGCAATGATTTATTAGATCCTTAACAAAATAGAATTTTGAGAAAAACCACCACAGCCAAGGCAGAGTCAGCCCCGGATGTTGGTGTTGCGTGAACCTGGATCAGACCAACAAAGTGTCAGCGTCTCCCTGCTGGCTCACCCCAACTGCTTCATGCAGTGAGCTTATATACAGTTTATTCTGCCTGAGGCAGAAATGACTGAATGTTCCTTTGTGTCCCTTCACATGTAGAACTGGGGCCATACATGTGCAGGAATAGGCAAAAGTGAGTCCAGATGTCTAGATGGTTGTCTGAATGCTTCGCAAGAGGAAGAGTCCGCATTCACATGTAGCAGAGTGGCACCAGTGCTTGAGTGAGGTAGATGCGATCTCCCAGGTGCAGGTCCCTGGTGAGTGGCCCTGACATTCCAGGGAAGTCAGCAATCATGGCCCGGGAAGGTTTCATTCATACCTTAACAGACTTGATATTATCTTAACGTTGTCCAGAAACTAATTGAATAAACATAAGACTCAGCTCCCAGCCGGGTGGTCAAAGACATAGCTTGGATTTTACAATATTTTATACATAAATAGCATGAATTATCTCTATCATATACTCCACTCATGTTTAAAAATGAACGTTAGCTTCCTTGTCCAATTTAAAACCTGGTGGAAGAAGGCTGAATATTCCAGGAATAACTCTGTGAATTTTAAATGAAAATATATGACATTTTCACATCACTTCCCCATATATTCAGCTGCCTGGATATGGGTTGTCTTCCCTCAAACTGACTGCGCAGAGGTACCAGCATTTGCTGGTCTTAAGAGTTCTTATGTTGGCCGTTTCAAAAAAAAAAACCCAAAAAACCAAACAACTACAAAAAAAACCTCCAGAAAACAAACAACCCCCCCAACCATATTTGCAGTCCTTGAGTTTCTTTCAGAGCTGAGCTTTAAGTTCAAAGGAAGTAAGGGAAGTAAATTCTTATCCTTTAGCTCCACTTCTGGAAACATTCCTCCAGTGACTGAAGTATGGGCACACTCCATAATTTGTAGTCCATGATTTTTGCAGGGATCAGTGGTTAGGACTTGGAGCTTTTCATTATAGCATTCTAGTATGGATTTGAATTTGGTTTAGATTGTCTTCTGCTATGAACTCTGGTTTTTCCCTTCATTTCACTGTGTATCTTTGCATGAATGCACCTGTAGTTAAATCTGCCCTTCCTCCAGCTCAATCACTGTTTGTTTTCACCTTCGAAATGTAAGAATCTGCATAGCAGTCACTTCTTAGCTTATACACCCAGAGTTCTGGTTTCATGGAGGTTGTAGTGTTGCAAGAAACAATGAAATGAACAAAGTAGCCTATTTTGTAATAGGATCAATTGCAAGGTAAGAATCCATACGGAGAGAGTAATAGGCTGTAACTTGCTGGGTTTAGCTGCCAAAGATTTTTGTCACAATCTCCACTGTTCTAATGTTTAGATGTCCAAAATCTAACGTTGGTTAAGCCTGAATTTTAAACTAACTAAAAATGTGAGAAATAAAGATTTAGAGAACATGCCAAGCACTCCACTGGGCTTCATAAGACTTACGGCAGCATGTACCATCAGCATTGCTTTTCTGATGAGACAAAATAAATGCTCCTCTGCAGAAAGCTGGTTATGAGTAATGAAGTTCAGCATATGTAATTTGGTCTGCCTCAACAAAAGTCAAAAGACATTGCGCCTTTCCTAATTGTAAATATTTAGTGTCCTGGTTTGATAACCTGTACTTCATAATGTAGTGGAAAAACCCATTATCACAAATGCTCATACTTATCATGTGCTGCAGGATCGAGAAACAGATAAGCAGGTTCCGAGGATGGTTGCCCAGAAAGCCAATGAAACTGGACAAGGAAACACTGCCAGATCTGGAGGAGAATGACTGCTATACTGCTCCATTCAGCCAACAAAGGATCCATCAGTGAGTATTCTAGCATATATTCTAGCATCTCAGTGGCAAGGTGAAAACTTTTTCTTCTGGATTCACCTTGGAAAAAATTGATTCCTTTGTTTGTGTCTTAAGGACTAGTGCCTTCATATTAGCCCTTTTTCACAAAAAGGAAGAGATAACTAGTCTATATTTCTATTAATTAAATGTCCAGCTCAAAGCTAAGGAAATCAATGGGAAAGTTCCTTTTAATTCACTGGAATTTCAATTACATCTTTAAAGGGATCAAATGGCTATTTTCTCTCAGGTCAGAATTGCAGTTGTTCTTTTTCACTTAAAGCTGTGATTAAAACTTTTCTCAGCATTCCTTATGTATTTAGCATAACCAAAACTAGTCCTTCATCACTGATGTTTGAAATATTGATACTTGAATTTAATTCCTAGTTATGACTGTAGAACAAAAAAAACTCTAAAGAAAGCAGACAATGTCAATTTGATTGCATTTCTCTTTCAATTTTATGGAAGCAAAACTCCTTGCAAAATGGCAGTGTTCAGACAGTGTTTGGACCTAGCAGTGACACTTTTCCACCAATGACACCAGTGTTGGACAAATGTCAGAGAAATCACTTGGCTACAAGAAGCCTTTATTCCCTTGCAAAATGCAGAGCAGAAAAAGTCCCACATAACTTTCATAACTCATATGAAATTTAAGGGATGTCAAATTTTTGATGTCTTATGGGTAGTTAGAGAGTTTGTGATATGGGAAACAGTCATTGACTGAGATCAAAACCACAAAGATTAGGCAGCACTGTTGAGGATACCAAAAGACAGAGAATGAATTATAGGTTGCTCCAAATTCTGAAATATGTGGTTTTATTCAGGGAGAAGCCAGGTTGACAAAGCTCTAAAATACCTCATTTTGAATGAATAATTTTTGCAGGGGTTTGATTTACTAGCTGCAATAAAAATGAGTAAAATAAACCTCTGCCACAAATGGCATCTTTCCAAATACAGCAGAAAAACAAGAACAGGTGCAAATCTCCAGGGAAATTTCAATAGAAGTCTGTTTGATACAGAGATGGGTCAGTTATTGTGCCCTGCAAGAGGAAGAGTAGGTGCAAACTAGTTTGAGAATAACTAGTGATACTAAAAAACTAATAAATCAGGATGTCAGCATTAATGTTTTTATTACCAGTAATATTAACTGCTAACGTCCCTTAAAATTACTGCACATAGGAAAGGGGTTGGTAGTTTGTTCTGAGAGATTTTTTTTGTGGCTGAAAGGAGGATTGACATTTATGAAGAGTATTTTTAGAGTATTTCTTTTTCATTCTTCTGCCTTGCTCATTTTCATGTTGGTAAACTGTCAGGAGAGTTTATAAGAAGTGTTAGTTTCATTAACACTCCTGCTGTTGTTTGACGCTTCTTTTACATCATGGCAGCCTTGGAAATTTTACTTTTACTCCATGGCAGACCTGACATTTTCTGCTTAGCTTTCTGTGTGTAGTCTTCCTATCCTTTTGTGTGGGGCTTATAAAATGTTGGCTGAGCTGGCCTCCTTCTCACGGAAGATGCTGGCTCTGACAGCAATGGTGTTCCTATTGTGCTTCAGCCTGTTCCTTGTGCCTGACTTGTTTTGTTTCACTAGAATTTTGAAATACAATGACTTGTTCAATATTTTTCTACTGAGTTGCATGCAGGTATTTCAATTTTTTAACCCAGAGACCCACAGTATTGTTTTAGGACTGTGAAGATAAATAATCACTGAAATTCTTGAAATCCTGAAAAGGAGAATTGCCATCTACAGTAAGGTTATGATAATTTAGCTTCCATTTTGTCAGTGGTAAGAAAAGTCCATACATTTTGATATTTGGGACAGTTAAGGTTTTGCTAGTATGCTCTAACCATGTGACCAATACAATGTAATTATACTGGAGGCTACAAACTTGTCATGGGTGGTTACTTGTGGAGTTCAGTGTTCGAAGAGCACATCATCCTACAGTCTAGAAGAGCAGTGACAATCTCCTTCCTACTCTTGGGCCTTTAGCTGTGACTCTGCCTCCTCTTCCATCACACAGTAGTGCCAAAACTGATTCAGAGAGAACAAGTACAGGACTGGAGGGGTCCCAGTACCAACCCAGTGTTCAGCTAGCTGACCTTAGTGTTAAGACTTTTCATTGAACATATGGCATTTTTTTGAACAAAGTAAATGTAACTCATTCAGTTCCTGAAGTCCTCAGAGGATGCAGAATAAATGCGAGTTTTTTTGTCCTTTTGCACTGTATTAAGGTGGTAGCAGAAAAATGCCACCAGTGTCTGCTTTTTGTCAGAACTTATGTACAGATTTTGAGTTTTAAGTTTACAGTAGAAGCCATACAATTTTCCTGCACATCTAGAATCCTAAGTGAGAGGAAGAGATTAGTGGGAAGTACAGTCAACTGTTCTTTGAGAAATACCCACAGGAACCTAAAATATATAATCAGTCTTTTAATTACACTGATGAGGATTTTTCTGGCTATTGTACAAGTATTTCTGGAGAGCAAGATATGTACTTCTGGCAGTTGAAAATATTTTGGATTTCTGTGTTGCCATAAATTACTGTTTATCCAAGATATGCTTAATGAAGACCATGAAGTGAATCACTCACAATTACAACCATCTCGGAAGCACAAAACTTAGTTTTCAGATAAGATCTCCATGGCCTCACAGTAGATTTTGCCACATATCCTACCTGGAGGCTGCCAAATTCTTCCTTTTTTCCTGGTTTTATGTGCTTTGCATCTTCTAAAATATTATGCCTTAAATACTCATATGAGCTTGGCTGCATTTGATATATTGCAATTTGGGTCTAAAATTCCTTATTTCTTCCTTTCTTCATAGCATCAGATGTCTTTCACGTCACCAAAGAACAGGCAGTTTATCTTTTGTGATCTAGCCACAGTTTCCACATAGAGGACTCCAGTCCAATACAGATTTTACAACATGACTTGAGTGGAGACTTCATTTCTGATAGTTTCTTTTAAAAGCATGGAAAGACAAAGAACTGACAATACTTACAATTCAGTGTCTGGGGTGGAAAATAATTAAGAAAAAAACCTTACCTGAGCTTATTTCCATAGGAAATAATATTTTAAAAATATTCATGTACAAGGAGTGTATGCAATTTTAGTAGATCATTTCAATAGACTTGTTCTTTCTTGCATTTTTCTTTCCCATTCAGATGGAAAAAGGCCAGATGTGGAGAAATTCAGCTTTCAAAAAAAAAACTAAGTTTGTTTTAAGAGGCACAGCTAGCCATCTGTCCTTCCTCCAAAACTGGCAAAGTAGAAAACACAAGAATGACATTTGTGAGATATGACTATAACTTTTGCAGCACAGCTTCAGGTTTTCTTTTAAAGGCATTATGGCATATTTCATAGGGTATATCTCAAAGCTGTCAGTACAAGAGAAGACCAAAATTCATCTTATTTCTTAAGTAATAGAAAATCTCTTTTTGGAGGAAAGTTCTGCCAAGCACTTCTTTTTTTTTTTTTTTTTTTTTAATTGTGTGGAATACAAAAAGATTATTTTCAAGACAGACTTCTGAGTAGTGTCTCTTTTTTGCAGCCACAACTTGGAAAAGGCTGTGCTTATACCAAAGTATTTCTTCTGAAAATTATCTTTTACAAGAATGCACAAGATGTGAGAAATGTTTACCATTAGACACACTTAGTTGTTCTTCTACTACATCTTATTTATTTATCATGTAGTCAGCTGCTAATCACTTGGGAATAGTAACAGCAGCAATTAGCTGCAATTTCTGAGGTAACTGTACACTAGCTAGGGAAATATGTTAATTGCTGTTTAGAGATTTCAAACTCTATATCAGGAGCTATTTCCCCTTTGTTTTATCTTTCTAAGGCAATAAACTCTCTGATTAAATATTAACCTAATATATAATTGAATGACCACTTAAAATAAATATTTGTTACTTAGTGAAAATAAGATTAAAAATTTACTCAATTAGGAGGACTAGGATAGTAACATGATTAATTAAGCAAAAAATGCCCCTGCATACCAGAGGTTAATAGATTTCTTCTCATTTATATTATGTCCCCTTGTGGTACATAAGTCTTGTATTTTTTCCAGATTTCCAAGAGATGTGTCTCTCAAAGTGGAGTTGCTTTTCAAGCTTTTTCTGATGTTCAAATTGATCTTAACAAACCCCATCTCTACCAAGATGATCTGTGCCCATGTTCCCTTAAGTCCCCTCACCCCAAAATCATGGATAGATCAGGGAACTACTGCAACTGGAGACATGGCACAAGGCTGCATGGACACTTACTTGTTTTGAACCAGGATGGTCATTCTGGCATTTGAATACATCTAGAGTATAATAACTATTCATCTTTAAATGGCTTTTTATAAATGGGGAATCACAGTTTTGCAAATCCTGCTCTCAAACAAATCTTTGTGCTGCCAAACTTGGACATGCCTTGCAATGTTTTTTTTTTTTTATTCCCTCTGATTCTGGAAGTTTCAATTGCATGAAAAATAGAAAGAAGCAGGGCATCCCTGAAAAATACAAAAGGCTCCCTCTTTCTATCTCAGGTGAATATTTCTAAGTGAACTAATTTAAATTAAGAAGCGATCTGGGGGAAGACATCTGGGGCAAAGGCAGAGGAAGGTGAAGGAGAGATTCAGCACTTTCATGACTTTCTATTTTACTTTGGCAGTTTTGAGGCTGTGGTGCCAAATTAGAAACGGAGAGAGCCACTACAACATTCTTTGTCCCAAAGTGACTCTGTTTTAGGCCCTGTATGATATGAAAACCCTCTATTAACCATTAATAAAAATGTCCTTTTATATAAAAAAGACAGTTAGCTGCAACCTTAAAAATCAAGCAAAACAAAAATCAGCAAGTGCTAATAATATAGCCATTTTCAAACAAATAAAGTAGAGAAATGTGTGGTCTTATTCTCAGGGGAATACTGCAGACTCACATTGTTGCTGTTACTCCAGCTGATGATTTACTTTCTCTACGTTAAATTGGCTAAAAACCTGCTATTACCTCCGCCAACAACAGGTTGGCTGTTGGCTCTGTGATTTACCTGGGAGTACAGAAAGTTGGGCATTTTTCATGTGCTAAGGAATACACTATCACATAGAGATCACTACTTCCAGCAACATCTGTGCTCTTAGTTTGTACTGCTTCCAGCAGAAGGCAATTTTAGATATGGTGTCAGACTGTTTCAGTGTCTGTGGACCCACAGTGCGAAGATACACACAGATCTGTGCATGCATCCATCCTCCCTTTGTGTCTTTGTCAGCAGGCCACAGGTGTTCAGATTTCATCTTTTTTTATCTTGTCACTAAAGCAGAAAAGAGCCTTTTCCTGCCTTTTGCTTTCCCAAAATATAAAAAGTAAAATAAAGCAAGAAAAACAAACCCACTTTTTTTCAAATGTGTATTCAAAGATTCAAGAGCTAAATTTACCCTTTAAGGGTTTGTACAACCTGCAAAATTACCAAAGACAATGTGTGAACAGGAATTCATTGGTAATTTTTTCTTGGTTGAATTTGCACAAATTTGAGGTCTTTCTTTAGACAACAGTTAGCTTTGCTGTGCTTTGCTATCCACAGAAAGATAGTTTGAAATTTCCAGTTCACAGTTTAGTTAAAAAGGCTACAAATATAGCTTCAAAGCAATTAACCTTCACTGACTCTTCATGTCTCTTACAGCATAAATGTAAGAGCAGTATTTCCAGAATGATATTTTGAAAGGGACTTTAATTAGGGATCAACCCTGGAAGCTTTCCTTCCAAAAGTACTCTCATTATCTTCATTGGGATTTTCTTTTTGAGTAAGGATAGCTCACACAAATAAGACTTACAGGACCAAGATAATGATTATAGCTGTTGTGGAACAAATCACTGGCTTTATCTACCTATACATTAACTTCACAGGTAAAAAAATTTTAATACATTAATCCTTACTTATTTTTTGTCTTACAAATGAGGTGACAAAATTATGAAAACCACCAGTGAAGAGTCTCATAAATAAAATCTAAACCCTTACTGAGCCTGAAAACAAGCTGTATTGCTCTTATGAATATTCAAATCCTTGTGTTGAAAATATAACAAGGGCAGCAGAAACAGAACAGCTGAGGAAATTCTTCCACCTAAAAGCAACAAGGGTTAAAAAACTTGCTAGAAAGCCTCTGCATTATACAGTTCATAGCTCAGTAATGTCTGATAAATGTTTATGTGTACCTGGTTTGAAATTGTCTTCAGCTCTGGCCCCTGTGAACTGAAATTTGAAGTGTGAGATTCTTCACAGACTGAGAAAATCCTTCTCATCTGAATTCTTTGTTGGATGCTGTAGAACATGGAATAGCTCTGATGGTTATTGTTTGACTGTGGATTTACCACCCACACTCAGAAATAAGACAAACTGAAGCACAAAAAATTGGGGGGAAGAAACATCCATGAAGCATTGGAGAAGGGGTGGTGGTTGAAAGGGGCAAGCCCTACACTGAGCTTCCTGATTCTCACCTGACAAGAGCAACTCCTGTGACTTTTGGGATAAATTGAAACCTTCCTGACATTGTCCTAATTTATGTCAAAGTCTAACAGGGATGTTGTAACACAGATACAGCTGCCTGGGATATTCTCAACCTTTCAAGGCCTTCCACTCATGTCTGCCTGTTTTTGTTTCCTGTGCCAGAGGTCCCTGCCCTGTTGATTATGGTGATGCTGCTCTTTCTACTCTACAGACAATTTCACAGAAAAAAAAAAGGATATTTGAGTTAAGCAGATTTTAAGAACCCTATGACTTTTATGTTCAAAAATAAGGAAGAATTATTCCTTAAATGCTACTACATGTTTTAAATGATACCAAATGTTACCACCAATTCTATCCCAAAATAATGATATTGTTAGGGATGGTCCAGGACATCCAGAGGACTCATTTTTGGCACTACTTTTTCACCTTTGCTGAACTCTCACATCTCTTCTTTATCCATGTCTTCATGAATAACATTCATATATTGGAAAACACTCAAGGGCATGTTTTTGACCCACTCTGATCATGGCGAGTCCTTCCTCTCGTCTCCCCCTCCTGCCCTTACTGGCACAAGACTGGGCAGGGCAGAGCCTCTGCAGCTCATATTCTCACAGGTGTTTTAGGACTGCTTCAGCTATTATGGAACAGGCAGAGTTTTTCATGGCAGTTCTCATACTGAGGTGTTTACATCTGCTTCACAGGCACATCTGGTTATTTCTTCTTGCCCATGTAAGATCAAAAGTTATAATAACACAACTACTAAGTTTGCCAATGAATGCAAATTACTGAAGTGTTTCTTTAAACAAGTGATTATTTCTTTGTTTTTTAGAGTTCCCATAATCCCTGATTTTTGTCTTTTTGCATTTATGACTCATGAAAATAGAAATTCTTGAATACAAGCAAAACTATTAAACAAGTTCTTCAGAAGAGATGTTGAAATGGCTATCTCTAGTTGCAGTATAAGACAGTTGTGATAACAGATGAGAAAAATAAACTTGTATTACAAAGAAAATAGATTAAGGTGTTATCTGGTTCCATGTTGCAGGTTTCCCAGATAAGGTGATCCAATTCGCAGTTGAATCCTACAAGAACTCGTCAGAATGATGAGTCAAGCTAAGTCAGAATGAGAATTACTGTGCTGTTCTGGTATCTGAGAAGTTATCTTCACAGTTCTTTAACTGTCTGGGAGGTGGGGTCTTGGATAGTCAGGCAGTAAAAGAAAATTAAATAAAGAGAAAAAATCTCTAACTATTCATTTCTGTTTTACTCCTGCCTTTTCATTTGTTTCTACTCCTACGCAAACAGCCTGTTACAGAGTTCCAGCTTCAGCTGAAAACAACACTGTTCTACCTGTTTCACAGTTTAGATTTTATAAAATATAATTTCTATCAGCATTAAGATTTACAAGAATACAGTATGTTTTTTTCTCTCAAAATACTTTTGGTAGTCATTATTTCACATACTGATTACTTTCAGCTGAATTTGATAGAGATGTAGCAGTAAAGATGCATCTTTATATCTGCATATCTTTCTGTATCTGAAAGATAAGCTCAGTCTTAAATAACTTTTGAGTAACAGTAGCTTGAAATAGAATAGTGGCCCCAAACTGTTCCTGTACAGAAAAGGCCGTGGCCAGTGGACACCAATTGCATTTGCTGTTTCGTACCAGCCCACTGGTAAATCAGCATGCACGTGGTGGTCAGCCAATATGCATAAATCTAATTAACTTTGGTAGGTACTGTAGGGCATGAGTACGACTTTGGGAATAGCAGGGAAATGGGAGGAAGCCAGAAGTACTGAGTTCAGTAGTGAGTAGATTGTAGACACAAAAATGGCCTGTGAGTATCTGGGGTGAAGTGGCAAAGGAAACATGAGATAGTAATCTCTAGAAAACCAGGTTTTATTACTTCTGGTGCTCTTGGAGCAATTTGTCTTACATACCTTTACTTTAGGGGTTTTTTTTTTTACTGTCTGCCTTTGAAGCAGAGCATAAGGATCTTATGTACACATTGTATTGTATTGAAAATTCAGTTGAGAATTTTGATAATAAAGAGGGAGTACATGAAGTTCTCAAAGTCCAGAAGTTGGACTCCTCGTTTTTCAAAATTACTGTGGAGGTGCAAAGCTGCATATTATTTCCCATGAGTAAAGATTGATTCTGGAAAAAAAAAAAATTCATTTGGGTTAAATTACCTGAGGGGAAAACTGAGAAGTGAATCTCACATTGTGCAAAAGAGAAGGTGAAGTGAATCCACGCCAAGCTCCTGATTAAGATGATCTCATTTAAGGTCATATTTGTCTAGTGTGCTCTCCTACAGACTCATCTCTCCATGACATCTCTGTGACCTTAACATTTTATTTATCAGTTTATTCAATTCTGCAGCTCTTCAAAAACACAGATGAGGAAACCAATATTGCCTCCTATCCACAGGGTTTGTTGGGTTTTTCAAAATTTATTCCATCTAACCTATTCAACATAGAACCGGTATTCATACTTGATAAGTGGCCTCTTAGAGCTAATTTTCTACTGCATTTTATCTTCCAGGACCAAATGTGGAAGTATATGATACTTTCAATTTCTAACATAGTATTTGGTAACAGTTTTCAGTAAGCATGGTTTACCAAGTAGATGGTTCCAACTGACTCTTAATGGTAAAGCATAACAAAAAAGCCTAGAACAGATGTGAAATTCTACTGCTGCACTTACAAAGATATGTTTTTGCAATTTTTTGTGCAAGAATTTTGTAGTTTTCAGTGAATTATCTAAAAGTGATGCATATCATAATGAATACTTAAATATCTCCACGTAATTCTTTGTAAGAGAATGAATGCTGTTACTGACAGCATCTCACCTGGCTAATCATCTCTTAATCAAGTGTCTTTTATCCTCCCTGCACTTGCTTACATACTGTAGAGTTTTAGAGTGCTAAAGAAAGTAATGGAAATAAATATTTGCCTTAAATGTGCTCTTACGTGTTTCTGAGATGCTCTTGGTTTTTATTTTCATGTAGCTTCATAATACACAACAAAGATACTTTCTTCAATAATGCTACAAGAAGTAGAATTGTACACCATATCTTACAAAGAGTGAAATATGAAGAAGGGAAAAACAAAATTGGTAAGTACTGAGCAATGTGCTTTTAAATATGCCTTTAAAAAAAGAAAGAAGAAGTCTGCCTGGCCTTATAAGAGGCTCTTTTCCTTCCTTTTTAATCACCTTGATTTTGACTGTTTCCATCTCATCCACTGCTGTGGTAGGGGCTTTGCCTTGGAAGATGTGATCATCTCCCTGTAATACCAGTCAGCTTTCACAGGCACATCACCACATGGGATTTATCACCTCTGCAAGGGAAGAGGCTGATTTAAACATGAAATATTAACAGATTAGGAGCAGTGAAGCAGAGAGACTCATGCAGGAAAACTTTTATTCTTTCATTAAAATGTGCTTGGGAGGATGGAAAGATTTCTGCTGCTCTACATCTCAGGCTACAGGGCTTCTCCCTGGATACCTATCCACCCCTAAGGGAGATGGAGGACTCTGTATCTCTGGTGTTGCTATAAGTCAAAGGAAGTTCACCATTGATGTCCTCAGTGCAAAGAATGCTATAACTGTGGCTACATTTTCAATTAGAGAGTGGACTGGAAATTTGGAGAGGCACACATGCAGGCCCAGGAGAGCAGGTGGTGACAGAGGAGGGATAGAATATGAAATAGTGGCCACCTTCTGCCAAATCATACAGAGCGCATACACCTTGAGTCCCACACAGAGACAAATGTAGAGACAAATCTCCATAAAATTCTGCAATCTATTTCATTTCTCTGCTGTTTAAACCTCACCTTTCCTGAAGAGGAAAATATCCCAGAACTTCACTTCTTTCTTTCTTTCTCAGCTGCTGGGATGAGGGCAGCAATAGCCCCGAGCAGAGCTGATGTTGCATCTTGCCCAAACACCTGCAATCCCTGCCTACCTAAAGATCCCAATCTCCCTCACATGTAAACTTGTGCTGTACCTGTAGTAAACACAACCTTGCACTGATCACTGGGCAGAGCAAAGCCCAGCTCTGCCGTCCAAGTTTTACTTTTCTGACAGAGACATTGGAAGAAAACATATTTTGCCAGGCAGATAGTGATGCTACCGCTGAAAGTGTTATTCATGTTGACTTAATACTTCTCATTGCTGTGTTCTTGCTGCTGTCTGTCTCCTGTGAATTAGGAAAGGAATCAAGACTCTGTGCCTCTTGGTCAATAGGGTTCAAATACCTTCAGGTTCTTCATGTGGATTGTTTTGCATTGCTTGGTAGCAGTACAGTCTTATTTTGGTGATTTTGCAAGTGCAAAGCACCAATCATCTCAGCAATCATCATTTCTCCAGTCTCTCATTAAAGAGGGACATGGCCTGAGTGAGTGGGTTGTATGGTTATTTTTTTGTGGTAGGATGGATAGGAATGATTTTATTTTCTGGTCTTTTAATGCTGCAGCTTGTCTTGTTCCTTTCTGTCTGTTCAGCAACTTTCATAAGACACAAGCTGAACACATTTTAAAAAGTTGTTATCATGTGGAATTGTGAGTTTCTGTTGCTTTAATGGTCTGCAATTCAAAAATGTCGAGACCTATCCTGAAGATTTTAGCTCCCAAGATATGCAGCCTTTCCCCTAAATAGCTTTGTTAGACCATGTTTCATAATGTCAAACTTTAAACCTGGTGTAAAGTCTCCAATTTCAGTGAAGTTACTCTAAAGATGGATTTGGCAAATGAATCTTTAAACCTCTAGCATAATAAATGATAGATTCTGATTAATATTGGAGCAAGTCTTTCTATGTATTATTTCTTAGTTATCAAAATCTAGAGAAGATTAATTTTTCTACATATATTGTGTACTGTCAATTGGCTTCCATCTTCATTTAGCCAGTTTATGAAAATATGTTTTGCTTTTTACGTCACCATTTTTCTGCTCCTGTTGATAAATAATTGAATACTTTTGATTCTTAGGTCTGAATCGATTGCTCAGTAATGGCTCCTATGAAGCTGCATTTCCTCTTCATGAGGTATTTTGCTCTTTTTTTTTTTCCTTTTTGAATGGACATTTCCCACAAAATGAATTCTTAATTGTGTAATTATTTATCCTTAACCTTATTAATGTCTGCCTCTGACATGCTTCCATTTAGCAATGCTTTTTTCCTTGGGGAAAAATTAGGGGCATTTCTTGCAAAAAGAGATGAGTAAAGAGGGTTGTTCCAGTTCTGTTCTGTAAAAACTCTTTGAGTTGATATATCAGTATGCTTTCAGAGAGGAAAAACACCACACTCTGGGGGGGATTTTTGAGATTCTCCAAAGATTTTTAGTCATTTATAGGCTATGACTTGAATATAATCTCTTATAAATTTCTTAGTAAGAATATTCTCAAATCTTAGTGACATCAGTTGATTTTTTTTTTAATGCCATATTTAGCTTTTGGAGCACAAGTATGTAGTTTGCATAAGCTATGTTATCCATGCTGCTAGTAAGAGAGACTTCTTAAATATTCTTTTTTGCTGCTGTTATTCATTAATGTCCAGATTTGTATTTTAGGGAAGTTACAGAAGTAAGAATTCAATAAAAACCCATGGAGCAGAAAACCACAGACACCTGCTCTATGAGTGCTGGGCTTCCTGGGGAGTGTGGTATAAATACCAGCCCCTGGATCTTGTAAGGTAAGACTTGCCTGCTTTTGCTATGTCACATTAGAGATGCTTTGAGCACAGGTTGTTTCACTTCTGATAAAACCATGAAAAGCTTATTTAATTCATGTGGTTTTTAAAAACTGATCCTGAAGTAATGGGAAACCATTTAGTTCATGGTGACACTACAACCGAAGAAATATTTAGAGAGGAGTTTGTAGAAGGACCTGAAAGTGAAAGAAGTTTCCTTCCAGAGTTTCCTGACACCATAATTTGTAATGAAGTGTTTACAGGATATTTAAGAGGAAAAAAAAAAGGAGAAGGATCTGTGGAGGCTGGGTATACTTGATTAGACATCTGTCCATAGGAGGTGTTCTTTCTCCTTGGAGCATGGCTTTGGTGAAAAATAGGCTCTCACCAACTAGATCTTCTTTTTCCAAAGAGCAACCACAGAATGAGCTCTGGAGGAAGTTTCATGATGCTCACAAATGGCACAGAGCAGAGCTTACAGTTGCTGATTGTACTACTGTGTTCACAACACTGGTGATGGAAGTCTCCTTTGTACCACTGCCCTTTAACTCAGACCAGCCACATCACCACTCTCCAGATTTTTGTTAATCTTGGAAGTAGTCTGCAAAGAAAACACTGAGAAAGTTGAGATGTGATTCCAAGTTCTTACAGTCCCTTTAAATAATGTTTTCAAATAGCCTTGCATGCACTAATAGAGGATTACATAGATCTTGTGCATATAGAGAGAGCCAGAGCCTTTACTGATCATGATGGCAGAACTAATATTGGACAGTAATGGGCTTTTTCTACTTGAAGAGAGGAACATGGAGCTACAAGGGCCTGTTAATAAAGTCTTCAGATGTACCAGGAGCACTGAAGATAGATTGACCATCAGGAAGGGTCATACAAAACATTCAATTGGTCCAGCTTGTTAATTACCTCTTTCATAAGTCCTGTGACTAATAGAAAACTTTGCTCTTATTTATTCTCAAAATTGTTTCCAGATGAAAGATTTGTAGAGGGTAGCCCTGGAGACAGACAGTATTACTGATTAAGGCCATATAAAACCTATCCATTTCATAAAACAGAGAGTTTCTTTTCCATGGATAAAAAGCTAACCAAGAAAATTTTTTACTGATTCATGTAATTTTTTTACTCCTTTATGAAATAATTTATTAAATCTCATAATTTAATCCCAAAAAACTTTTTATTTCTTTTTTTTAATAAACTGGATAGACATTTGGATTTTTTTTGACAAATTACACCATAGAAACTGCTGATTTATGGAAGAGCCAACAGTTATACTGAAGGGGTTTTTTGCTTTTAATTTCCCAGTACACAACAAGATATTATTATCACAGTACAAACAACTCATCTCTATAGAGTTTTATAACCATTTTTCCATAGTGGTCAAGGCTACTGTTCTTCATCATTTCTTGTTTATGAAAGTGCTCTTGAGGCAATATCTGGTGTTTGGTTTAATTTGATGGTCAGGCATCTGAAAGGTTTGTGAAAGTATGAGAATAAATGGTAACAGAATAAGCAAAGTTAGAGATATGATTATTCTAGACCTTGATAGCAGCCTTCTTGCATTGTCTGGGTTTAAAGATTTTTAAAGAAAGTTTATTTTTTCATGAGACAGATTTTTCAAAATCTATTTTAAAAAAAAGGCAACTGCTATAGACCCCCTAGCTGAAGTCAGGAGTGTCCTGCTGTTGTTGAGAGTGGATGTTTACCCAAAGAGGAGAGGGACAGGGGGAGCTGTAAGATTCCCTGAGCACTGGCAGCAGCCTGAGTCACAAGACACCAAACTCAGCAGGTCCAAAGCTGCAGCCCCAGCCCAGCCTGCCATGTGCTGCCTGCAGCACATCCACAGCTGTGATGAATTCACTGAAGGAGGGTGACAACAAAGTGAAGGGAATGCCTTTTCCTTCTCACTTCACAGATGCTGGATTACTCACATTTGCTCAGCTCCTGCTGAGTTTTCAGAGGATTTGAAGATTTGGGAGGAGCTAAGGAAATGTGAGTAATCCAGCATCCATGAATGAATCTTCCACTTCTACAGCCACTCTCAGCAGTTCACATGTCTATTGAGCTGGAGACTTTTCCTTGAAAAACTGATGACACCAGCAAGACCTGCTGTTCATTTCACTTGGGAGTGTCTCAGTGGGCACATTTTAAAAAGAAGCTTTTCTCAGTGCCAGTTCTACAGCAGGGAAATATCATTTTTCCCCCCATAATAAGAATTATGTAGGACTGTGCTTGAAGGGTGTAGTGTGGTCATCTGTACAAAAGGAGCGACTGGATGTTGCTTCTTCCACAGACATCTGGCCAGAACTTACACTGCTAGCTGGCATTATGCTTTAAAAAGGCTAAGAAATAAATTAGATGTAGATAGTACATTTATGTCATCAATAGATGTGCTATTACTACCCTAAAGTCAAGTTACCACAATGGTAAGTGAAAATATTCATACTCCAGTGCTGTTTTATTTTTTCCTTAGATGTTAAAATGAAGTTTCCATCTCCTGTGCTGCCAATTTGGCAACTGCAGATTTCATTTAATCTCATCAGCTGGCTGTTATGGAGATACTAGTCACTAAAAATAAATGAGGAGAAGTCATTTGAGGGAAATTGCATGATTCTGCTTCCACTCTGCTTTGAAACGTGGCAGTACGATGGCACAGAGTTGGCATAATTTACAAAGCCACTCCTATTGGACAACAGATGTGGTACCACGACTTTAATTATACATCTCTTGGAATTTAGTGTCCATAGATGCTTTAAAAGAATAATTTGTGACCTTTAGAATTGATTATAATTCGTATAATTGATTATAATTCTTCTTATAATTAAAAAAGAAACAGGTCTCAGTATATTTATATGCTTTGGGACCATGTAAATCAACAGAAACAGTGGCAGTGATTCCTGGGGACTTTGAATCACCTCCTTCACACTTCTGTGCATTGTTGCTTCCCTCTTGATTGTGCACAAATTTCTCCTGCTGCTGCTTGTGCATGTAATTGACAGGACAAAAATGCAGGGAGGAAACTGGTTTTTAAGTGATTGTAAAGGTATCTAAATGAACTTGGAAGCAAAAACTGACACCTGAGTAATCTGCATTTTGCTCCATGTTTCCATTAAATGTCTTGACTGCAAGCTGACTACTCCCTTTCAGTCTCCTGTCAAGCCTTCCTACCCACCCCATTGCTTCTGACATGAGAGCTTCATATGTCCAAAACACCTGCTGGAAAGCTCTAGTTTCTGTGGTGTAGAAAGTTCTGTACAGGATTTCATTCTTACCTGCAAAAGAGTTAATGAAAATAGATAGGTCCTTGGCTTGAGCCCTGATATGTCTATATTCTAGATCCATGACTTCCTCCTAGGCATGTCAAAAGCAAAATATTCCATAATGAGAGTCATTAAGTATAGGATAATCCAATATCACATTTCATAGGTTGGAAATTAGACTTTGTAGCTTAATACTTTCCAAAAATGTGCCTTATTGATAAATATTGATATTGAAATCTTGACCATTTAGGTCATAGCTCTACTACTGGAATGGGTTGAGGGGATATACAGTTCACCATTAGGGTAACTGGTATTGAAGGGCTAGTATACAGGCTAGCTTACAATGAGAAGCTGAAATTACATTTTTATAATTATTTTGATGTTGCAATATATATAAGGATAGGAGAGATGGATTATTGTGTTTGGTGCTTGGGGATTTTTTATGTCCCTCCTTTTTAGGTTAGTTGTGGAGAAAATTTTCTGTGGGAGAACCATTAAAGACTCAAACAATTTTTTTCTGTCCATATTAATAATCTGAAAAATTAGATAGTAATTAATTAGCAAAGTTAACAAGAACACAAAAATGTTACCAACACTGGAAAATTTCAAAGAGGCCTTGAAATGAGTAGAATGATAACAGGTTAAATTTAGGTATAAGTCATGCACAGTGATGCATTCTGGGAAGAAACTTCTGGAATTCTTTGTGTACATTGCTGAGCCCTGGCTCAGAAAGAACTGCCATCACTGAAGCAAGCTATATGAAATTTCTGTTCTTTACATAGTTATAGAAGAAGAGAAGGAACAGATTTGTTCTTCAGACAAATATTTGGGGCAAATTGAAGAGGGTGACAAAGGCATCTACACATTTTTCATCTCCTGAGGGTCATGACGGTCCAGACTAGCTGAACTACATATTGGAGTAAATGTGGAACTCCTCTGAATATGGCACCTAGGCCTCCAAAGACCTTCTAACTGGCATAGTTTGTTTCCATAGCATTTAACTGAGTGGTATCTGAGCAGAGACTAAAAGGAGAAATATGCAAACTATGGGGCCAGAAGACTTGATATATTAAATTGATCCTGATGCAATTTACAGTAGTACAGCCTGTGCCTGTAGAGTACCAGCTGTGTTGCAAAGGGCAATAAGGGAATATCGAGGTTGTTTATCGATATTTAAACCAATATGCATCAAAGTAATGTCAACATCCTACATTTAATTTTAAAACCCAGCTCAGATGCCTTTTCCTTTCTTTTCAGAGATGGGTTTCTCCCCATCATCTTCTTTATGCACACACTGAACTTTGCTTGGGTCTTCGTCTAGGATGAAGGTGTTTGATTTCTAGATCAAAAGGAATACTATGATTTGCACTGTTAGATTGAAGGGCTCAGAAGGGTAGGGGTTTATTTTTGCCATTAATGCTTGTCAGCTAGAGGGTTGAAACAAGGAAGCATTCATCCTTGAGTGTAGAGAATGAAGTAAAAAATAAAGCTTGATGAAAGTTAGGTGGACTTCACTCCTTTGAACAACGTACGTGGAGAAAAATAGGTCATCCATATTTAGTGGAAGTATGCTCAAATGTGAGTTTGCATTTTTGGAGGTGCAGGCACAGACTGACATCCTGGATGTCAGGAAAATAATCAGGCCAAAAGTTTCATGTACACTCTTAAATCAGGTCTTAAAAAGCAGTTTGCAGTGTGTTTTTTACAATCAGACCTGCTGCCCTTGTCAGAACTGAGCATGTAAGCGTTAGCTTACCATCTCTTTAGTCTGGGAATTTGAGTCTGTTGAATGACAGAAGAATAAAAACAAAATTACAATACTTGGCTTCTTATACAGAGTTGGTAAACTCAAATGAAAATAGTCACTGCAGATCAGTATCTTCCATCAGAGCATGAGCTCAGGCCAGAGAGATGTTTCCCACACTGGAAATTTTTAACAACAACTTGAAAACTGCTAATTTTGTGCAGTCCAGACCAAGTGTCCTCCAGTGCACCCAGTGCTAGAGACAGTTCTAGGGCTTTCCATTCTGGCTGAGAAAATTTGGCCAATGATGTTTCCTTGGTAGAGTAGAGGAGCCAGCAGTGCTGGCTGTCTGCACTTGTTCTCTGGATACATCAGAAGTTGCATCATTAGGGTGGAAGAGAGTTTCCAGTAGCAGCTATTTTCAAATTGAGTGGATATGCAAGTTTAAGTTGTCTACAAAATGTCTGAAGCACAAGCATATCATCCTGCATCATTCTTTAGAACCAGCCTTGCAAATAATCCCCTAAAATCTACTGTGCACAAATCAATAGGACAGTACATGAGCCTGCTCCTCTGCTGATGAGTTCAGCAGGTTTTTGTGTGCTTGATTAATTCTCTAACACATAAATAAAGGGTTGGTTGTGTTTGGGAGGAGGTAAATTGCTAATGAATATGTATGTAGCAAGATAAAACTTTCTGGCTACTTTGCTGCTAGTTTTTGAGTAATATATCTAATAAAATAGGATCAATTCAGACTGCTTTCCTCAAATCATTGCAAGATGATGGACCTCACTTGCACTTCACTTTCCACTGCAGTAGAATCGTGAAATTAGTTTTGCAGAAACTGAGCTAAGAAAATAAATAATCAAATGAAAATAAACTGTATTGGAGAATGAACTCTGGTTAATTAATTTCTTAGAACTAATTTGAGCTCAAATAATTTTTGCTGTTATACAAGATTTAGGGATAAAATTTATTTCAATGCAATTATTCAGGCATTAAAATCAAACGGCCAAAATCAAAGCACACCATCAATTTCCCAAATACAAAGAACTAGCTTTCTAGAAGTAACTCAGTGTTTCCTTCACGAGGTCACCACTTATCTAACTGTAAACTGTGGTTATTGAATTTTTAAATTAATGTTTTAAGTTCATTATTGAGGCAAGTCCCTCAGTGTGTATTTAGAAGCTTAGTTGAAGGCTTTTAATCCTCTTTAATCTACTCTTCAGATATGATAGAAATATTTTTTTTCTACTAATGAGCAAGATTAAGTAGATTATTCTAATTAGCAGGTAACTTTGTTGTGTTTTGTTTTAAAACAGACGGTACTTTGGTGAGAAAATCGGGCTGTACTTTGCCTGGTTAGGCTGGTACACAGGGATGCTCTTCCCAGCTGCCTTCATTGGATTATTTGTCTTTTTGTATGGAGTCACCACTTTGAACCACTGCCAAGTCAGGTAATGTGGGAACTTGTAAAAAGAAATTGCAACTGTGAGTTATTATGAATAATTTGAGAGATCTTCCCACAAGCTGTTAATTATTTCATTTTAAACTATTGAATGAACAGTCAAGAAAAGACTGCCTAGTTGTCATAAGGTACCTGGTATCAAACTTCCCATGTTTTATGCTCCTGAATTGGATGAGAGGAAATTCTTCTTTCCCAGTTCCAGTTGTTAATGGTGCTGGCAACTCAGAACAAAATAGGGAAAAAGCAGACTCCTCCATTACTTTTTAAGAGGCCAGCACAAGAGTGGGGAATTTTCACTCTCTATAAGGCTTTTCCCAAAGATCCACCACAGAGAGGCATTCCTCAGATGAAGAAATCCCTGGACCTTCTGCTGAGTGCTGCATCTCTAAGTTTTTGCGCACTTGAGTCACAAGAGTAACTTCGTCTGAAGTTATCCTCACCCTCCTCCTACCAAAGGTCACTCTGACTCAAGGAGAAGCTGGAAATGGTAAAGAGATACTACTAGGTTATCCCTGGAGAACTGCACTCTGCAGCTATGACTAAACTCTGTAGTCTTAGACAGTCAGCAAATATTAATTATACACATGCCGTTATAAACATCTTGGCTTCAGTTACAGACCAGTTTTGTTCAATAAGTAACTGAGTATTAGCAAAGCCTATCAATCCAGACAGATTATTGTGCAGATTGCTGTAGTAATCAAGCTATTAATTTTTGTCTTTTCTATTTTTCCAGTAAAGAAGTCTGCCAAGCTACAGATATCATAATGTGCCCTATATGTGATAAATACTGCCCCTTCATGAGGTTGTCAGACAGCTGCATATATGCCAAGGTATGTTCTAGGCTATGCAAATAGAGATACTTCCTGGTAAAAGCATGAATTTTGCCTTTTGCATTTGTCTTTAGTGAGCCTGGGTAGATGAAATCTTGAAGTGACAGATCAAGTTCAGCCAACATTAACACTGTCTTTAACCAATGTTTAATTTGGGTAGTAAAATATTTGAATGCAATCTGCACTTTGAAATTCAGCAGTGTCAGAGGTCGTGTCCTAGAGCTATGTGTTACTGTGTCCTTGACATCAGCCTTTATCTTCTCATCCATCCTCTCTGTGTGGCTCCATAAAATTAATGCTTTGGGTCTGAAATGATGCTCACATCTGGTGTTGGCAGGGGTCAGTCCCAGGCCAGGCTGGCAAATAGTCCTGTCAATTCACAGGGGGATTTCACATGTCAAGGTAAGGGTCCCCAGGATTGTCAGGCCAGCTAAACTCATGATCACATTCATTTTAGTTAGGAAAATAAAAAATAAAGGCCTATTATCACAAATTTATCACATTATTAATATATCTCTCAGGTAACCCACCTCTTTGACAATGGAGCTACTGTCTTTTTTGCTGTTTTCATGGCAGTGTGGGGTAAGTTTTCATTTTGATATTAAGTAATTGCACCATCTTTTTCTTAAAGAATACGATGCAACATAGGACTTTTTATTTTCCAGCACATTTTTATCTGACACTAAGAAAAAGAATATAGGCTAGAGACTTTTCTGTTTCTGCAAAAGGAAGACGCAATTGGTTAAATCAAGTTTTTATTTGATAATAATTTTTAAATTTAAACAGAACCATGAATGCAGTTATGTAGTGTCTACATAGTACATATATATATATATATATATATAATTCTGTGGGAATTTCTAACCATTTTTAAATCCATTGGTACTAAGGCCTTCTCTCTATTAGTGCTCAGGACTTCTCCTAGCTTAGGGCAGCTCAGTTTAGTGTCAGTATTAAAATGGAGTAGCATTTTTCCCCACCTTGCAGAAAGGCAGTAAAACTTGAACCATGTAAGCTGGTTGCAGTGAAAGCAAAGCTCTGATGAAATAAATAAAAGATTTCATTGAATGGCAAATTGATCCGAGTGTGGTCTAACTGTTGCCATGGAGGCTGAATTGTGCCCATAGAAATGTTCTATTTTTGACTCAACTATTTTTCCTACTATGTCATGTAGGCAGAATTGAAGGCAAGAGGAACCAGTAATTTCTGGCAGCACAAAAAATTATTTTAAATAATCCCTGAACATGCCCAGCCTCTTAGCTGCTACCAAGCCATTGTGAGAGAAGGTTAACAACTGTAGAAAATGGCTCAAGAAGGGGACTCAAAACCAGCATCCAAGTCCTTGAGCTACCCAGATTGAGTCATGGTTCTCCTGTTCTTACTCACACATCTCCAACTGCTTTGGAAAGGTGTCCAAGTAATTATAATCAATTTTAAACTGCAAATCTCTTTACTGAACCACAAGAAATATCCAGGAGGCAACATGAGAGCCACCAGAGCAACATAGATTAGCTTACCTGTCTATCTCAGTTCCTTCCTCCAATCAAGCCTATTTATGCCATTTCATGTAATACTAAAAATATTCAAATATTACAAATCACACTTAAGAAAAATCCACAGATCATGCAGTCTTTATGTTTCTGCTTGATATTTCATCTTTGTTTCAGAGCTACACAGAGCTAAGGATCACCAAAAATTTCTAAGCCTTAAAGATTTCCCTTAGATACTTACTCAGCTTTTCCAAACTCTTTCGCCAAGTTGAGAGTTTCCAACACAATATACAGGCAGGGAAATCTCTAGGTAGGAAAATTGATGGGTTAACATTGCTGAACATTTCTGGCAGTGTTCCTAACTGCTGGTGAGCATTTCTTCAGAGTGCAGATTTTGCACCAGTGTTTTTGTTTCTCCTTAACAATAAGTGTTTTCAGAAAACAGCTGTGCTCACAGCATGGTTTCTGTGTCTTAGCAGTGCCCAGATCCAAGGCTGTAGGAAAAGCAGCTCTAGGTAAGGGGAGTCCCTCACAGAGGTCACCATGCCCAGTTCTGCCTTGTGGTCACTGCCTTTGAGAAGCCTGAGGAGGCTGAACATGCCTGCTACAAAATGTTGTAGGCCCTCTCCTCTCTCTTTCCTCTCTCCAGTCAACAGGAACCACATCTCTCTCTGATTAGCCTCTCCTTCCTCCCCTTCCTTCAGCATCACTGTCAGACTCCCAGACCCAATTCCCTCCAGGAATCTCCACACCAGCCTGCCAAGACTGAGCAATGCACTGCCCACCCATGCATCTACAGCACCAAAGTCCACAGTGAGATGAAAAACAAATACAATAGAAGCTGCCCCCAGATGATTTGGCTATTGGAGAAGAGACTCTAGGAGAGCAGCTGGGGTGAGAGCTTTCCCCAGCACTTCTGTTGGCTTACACTGTGCTTGGGAGCTGACTGGCAAGAGGGAGGGAGGGCAGCACCAGCAGGAGCTGTGAGTGTAGGGTATGGCTTGGGGAATGGGGCAATCCTCTGGCTCCACACAAACCACACTTCCTTAAAGAAGAGTTTGCAGAGAAAACAGTGAGATTGTGGAGATATTGTCCATGCAGATAGGGCTGAAGCAACATTCAAATAAGGGAAGTCACACTTTCCAGGGATTTTCTGCTCCTGTATTTAGGAGCTGGCTTACTGCCTGTGTTAAATGGGATTTCAGTCTGCAGTAGGCCTACTGGCAGCTGCAGGCATTGCCATCATGGCAGTAAATCATAGAGGAAGAGAAGAATCAATGATAGCAGTTTGATTGTGGAAATGTTTTTTCTGTCAGCATGAAACAACTGGCAAGCTCAGAAAATATTGGCTGTGACAAGTTCAGCCTTCCAGATGATCCAGTTTGACAGACACTGACATATTAAATAATTATGGCACTGTTTTCATAAAAAGAGAATGAAAGTAAAAAGAAAAGGCAGCTAGAGTCGTGTTACCTCTTTAGCCAGAGTTTAGATGCTGTTTTATTTTCTAAAGTATTTTCTTCACCATCTTTACATCCATTAGTAAGCTCCCATGTTGAGAGAGAAGCCTCAGCCATTTGCTTGGGAGTTTCAAAACCAGCTGTGGCCATTGGTCTTTCCATGAAGAGGTGATCTGTATGGTGCTTTCATCCTTTTGCTCTAAAGACATCTTTAGTTGATGAATTAAGTTATCTGCTCCCATTTTAAATATAAATAAAATATATCTCCAAGTGATGAACAAACTTCTGTGGCCAGGCTGCAGAGAGGAATTACTGTGACAAATGCTGGCAGGGGGTGCTTGATTTGTGGAGCAGCAATGAGCCTGACTGTAGGGCTCTGAAGCTTGGGGACCCATCTTTCATAATGCTTCATTGTGGCATTAGTGAGACCCATCAAAGAAAGGTTGGAATTGTTAAGTGTACCAGGGGACACTGGAATAGAAGTACACTTCTCTTTAAAAAATACATTGACCCTTCACTTCACTTATTTAATTTCTGCCTGGTGTAAGCAAAGTAAAAGTAATTAATAAAATAAAAAAAAAAGCATGATACTTACTAAAGTATACCTGACAGCCATATGACTTAAGGAAACTTTCATTTTTAACTGATTTATCAAAGGACAAAAAGACTCCCTTCAGTGCACTTAGGGAATTCATTATCAGTTTGTATAAGTTTTTCTGTATTGAAGCTTCTGTTGAAAGGAAATACTCTTTCAAACAGATTGAAGCTATAAATCTTTGTTGTTTATGGGAAAAAGTGAGTCCCTGTAATCGCTAACATTTTTTAAATTTTTTTTCATTGGTGAACAGATTGCCATTGATGCTCACTGAGATGCGATCATCTCAGAAGCTGGAAAATATTTTTTTCTTGATGACATTTTCCAGATGTTAAAAGTTTTCAAAAATAGGGAAGCAATATCATGGTTTGTGTTTCTGTACTAGGGAGAAACACTTCCACTTTTGTTCTTTATGTATGCCTTGAGAAATGTTTGGCTTGATGATAAAGCAGCTCCCATATCTAGGAAAAGTTCCTCTCTTTTTACTGCCTAAATTAGATTCTTACCAAAGACAGAAAATGAGAGAAAGATGTTAATTCAAAAAAATGTTGACATTTAAAATGAAGGAAAAAGTAATTCTCATTAAAAAAATCTAGGGAAATTTGACACTCAGTTGACTCCAGCATGTTTCAGGAAAGCCAGATGGAATTGTAGATTTCGATTTTCCAATTGAGGTACTGGGGAAACCTATTGCAAAGCTGTTACTGCCTAGATGTTTCCAGAAACTCTAGAGCAAAATTCTGTAACTGTTCAAAAGGAAAGTCCAGCAATTTATCATTTCTAAATCCATGCTGAAGGCAGAGTAGGCTGGTGGTAGTTTCTCTCTCTGTGCACATCTTTGGGGAGCTAAGGGATGGAAGATAAATGCTTTTTGAAATTTTTTCCTGTGTAGCATGTTTCCTTTGATAAAAGAAGTAGCTTTAGAACACTCACTGAAAGGCAAAATTGGGAGGGCAAAAAGAGGACTGGCATGAAGAATTTAACACTTTTTTCAAGCAATAACAAAAGCCAACATAAAACAAATTTTCTGTATGTATCTGTTAGTCTAATAAAAGATATTACTTTCCTACAAATCTTGCCTCTAGCATAAAACATTGACATTAATCTGCTCTCCAAGGAGATAGAATTTAAGGGTGTTCTTCAGCAGGACTCCCAGTATATAGAATATATTCTAGGAGTCAGGATGGATATATTAAATGGTGCTCTGAAATACAATAGAGAGAGGATTTCTGAGAGAAGGTCAGGGTAAAGCTATTTCCTACAAGAGGCCATTTGCATTACAAGATAAGATCACAACTTGTTACAAAAGCATCTGAGGAAATGATGTTAAGACAGCTGCTTGTACAAGTGGATATTGAGGACCCAGCTGCAAGGTGGAGTTCTGAAGTAGGACAAATGTAGTATAGGAAAAGCTAGTAAAAGATCTGGGAGCTAAGGCCAATAAGAAATGCAAAATTCCAAGCAGGAATTTTTGAGAAAACTCAGGATCTGGTTCATACAAATGGGAAAATACAACTGTGTCCTACTGAATGTCAAAGTCAGAAAAGAATGCTGGAGTTTGTATAGGGTATTTATAGTTAAAATTACAATTAGAGAATAAGCAGAGAAATTTGAAAATGCAGTTATTTTAGAAGACCTCAGTAGCACAGTGAATCAATCAAAGATAGTTATTTATAGCACATTTTAAAATATCTAGCAAGGGAAAGCTGCATACTGACCTGAATAGAGAGAGAAAAGTGCAACACAGTGAAAGCTAAAACAGCACTGTACAGAGCATCATATTTGCTACTTAACGATTAGAAAATAACTTTCTAAAGAAGCTTCAAGAACTTCAGATACTTACTCTGACAGGTGCTAAATGTGCTAAATACAATATGCATAAATTCCTCACTCCAGGTGTGGGAAAAACAAGAAAGAAAAGAAGTATTGTTCAACAAAGGTGTATCTGAGACGTTCAGGGCTGGGACTCAAACACCTACTGGAGTTCTGCTACCAGCAGCTTTCTGGAATGGAAACAAAGTGGCAGAAATCAATCAGGCTTCTTCCTCCTAGGTTTCCAAGCAGTGCAGGACTACTTGTTTAGCCTGAACAAAATAATTCAATATGAGCTGACAGGAGAGAAGCAGCTCAACCAGGAAAAAAATCAAGGAATGAACCATGTTTGTGGTTCAGTAGCAGGGGAGCCTCATTAGCACTTACTGGTTTTGCTGATCACAACCAATTATACTGCAGCTATTACAAACATTTATAGAAGCATTAGGCTCATGACTCTCTATTTGACTAAAATCAAAGTGCTTGTGACTTGGTGTAACATAATTCCAGCTTGCAGAACAATAATTACCTGATATATGAAAATGCCCTCAAACCAAATATCTGCTTCCTTACACATGCTTTTGATACCTTACCTTGTCTGCTTGTACTCTTTATTTCCTAAGCACACTTTCACTGCACTAGCTAGTACAATAAAACATAATTCTTCCTGTCTAAAAATTAACTTTTGCCAAACTGACGCCAGTACTTAGTATCAGGTCCCATTTTTATCAATATGCTGCAGTAGGGCAAACAGCCCATTAAGGAGACACTTTTATGGATGTGAATTATATTGTCAGATGATTGTGACACTGTTACAGCTGATACTGTGCTAGCTCATGAACAAAGAGGTTTATGTTCTCTGGGTATCAATCTGCTGCTTCTCAGTGAGCAATAAAGGGCAGGCTTCCTCTCCACTTCACAGTGGGAGAAGATTTGTGTTAACTTTAGGTAGTTTCTACATCCTTTACACAAAATAAATGCTTAACACTGCTGTAACTTTAAGCAGGCTGAGTATTAATCTTTGGATTATATTATGCTATTACTGTTTCCTTGATTTTTTTTTTCCATCACAAAATGAAAGCACAATTGTCATATCAAAGTGGGAATTTCCTCAAAAATCCTTTACATTCGACTGGTCTGTCAGTGCTCCAGGAAAGCCAATACCTTTGTGTCTGATCACTCTGCCAATGTCCTGTTACTCTCCACTGAGCTGCCACTGGGTCAGAGGATGGTTCCACTGACTTGTTCAGGGACACACACCAACAGCAGAAGAAAGACCCCCTCCCAGGTCTTCACATTTTAATTCAAGTATTGCCCACTGCTGACAACTGCCAGAGCCCTTGAAGGACTCACACCAACAGTTTAGGGGACAACACTCTTTATTAATATACACACTGTGAGTGGAAAATTGTGACAGGTTAAAATTCAAAGACAGTGACAATGACAGTAGCTGACTGCAAGAATGAATTCAAAGCAATACCCAGACAAGCTCTAATCACCAATCAAACCTAGCTTAAGATGATCATTCAGTGAGCATAGAATACAATTATTACCCAATAGACATTCCTTTGGAGGAGGAGACAGGTTCAGCCCATCCCCTGATCCCAGAAGTTATGATGGAGTCTTCTCTAACTTTTCCCTATTCTTAACTTACTTTTATACTATTTGTTTACATTTAGATGAAGCTTGAATGGCTCTAGTGATACATACCTTTGCTATTGATAGGTGTAAAATTCTCAAGTTTCTCTCTTAAAGATATAGTCAATGAAATATAAAGTGTATGCCCAGTGAGGGGAGGTTGTACCCTGAAGGTGGGTAACTTTGGGATGGAGGTGTTTGTTAATATTACAGTTAGGTTTTAATGAACCCAGTTCATCCAGGGACAATGATTTCACCACAGTTGCTGGCTCAGCAACAAGACACCTTCTCCTATCTCCCCTGGCTGAGGGGTGCTGTGCCATTTATCAGCTGCACAGTACCATCAAGTTCCCCTCCCTGCAGGGATTACTTCAGAGCCTGACCTCTGTGTCTCCATTCTGCTCCACCCTCCATTCCATTCCCCTTAACATGTGCTAAATTTCCAGATTGGGTATATGGGGAGTCATGGTGGAATGGGTTTCGGGCATGCCACCCACATTCCATCCAGGCAGCAGCAATTCTATTTTACCCTATAATTTCTGTACTGTTCTAACTTCTGTTCAGAATGTGAATACAGCCTCCCAGTTTTCTCTAATTTTACTCCCAGTCATCTTCCCATAGCAGTTATGTGCATGTTACTCCATCTTGAACTCCATCAATAAGGGTGTAGTACACAATGTTTAATTATCAGACATAAACACCACACCGCTCATACGAACTCACATACTGTAAAAAAAAAAGGGGTTGAATTAAAAAGGTGTAAACCAGAAGTTCCCATTTCCCCAGTAGTACTCTGCACATTTTCAAATGCACTGGACTGTGCTTCCTCTGGGTTCTGGTTTCTGTGTCATGTAAATGGTCTTCAAAGAAAGAAAGTTACTCCATTATGTGCAATGGCCCCAAGAAACCTCTAGCTTCATCAGAAATCTGCTTTATCGAGCAGTGATGACTCACAGGAATGGTTTTATTCTTTGAGAGCACTCCCTTGGTTGGTTAGAAATTAAACATTCCCATTTAGCACTAAATGAAATCTCTAAAGCCTCAATCATACTTGAAGCAAGCAAACTAATCCTTAGAAAGCAATGCTTTTTGAAAGCAGTTTTGATCATCAGCATGATTTGCTGTTCAAAGGAACCCATTTATGCAAATAAATTAAAATAATGTTGCAGCTTCATTCAACAGTTCTGTGATAGTCATTAACATTTTCTTACTTAAAAACAATTTTGCATCTTTTTCCCTACTTGCTCTAGCCACTGTTTTTCTGGAGTTTTGGAAAAGAAGGCGAGCAGTAATTGCTTATGATTGGGACTTGATAGACTGGGAAGAAGAAGAGGTTTGTATAAAAACATGTACTCCTTAACCTTTAATACAAAATTATTTGGTTGAAAATGTATGGCTTTATTTTGCATTTATTTTCAGTTCATTCTTTAAATCTTTATAAACTATGAAGTAAGGATTTTTCTCCTCAGATGTTTCCTCTGGAATGTAAAGAAACTTTCTCCAGGCCAAACTGTCCTCTTTTTTCACACTTTTGTCAATCTAAATTAATTTGAGAGATTTCAGGGAAGAGATGCAGTATGGGAGAAGTGCATTTTTATTTTGAAAGGTGGAAATTATTGACAGCCCAGTGTACCGTGAATTTTGGCAAATGAGATTTTATCTATTCTTTTAGTATGTCACTGAGAGTATTGATGGAAGGAAAGCCTTTGAAGCTTGCACCAGCTTCTGAACCTTCAGATGCTGGTTATCTCATGGAGAGAGAGAGAGAGAGAGAGAGTGTTGGTACAGGAAATCCACTTAGGGAAGGCGCTAAACTTCAGAAAATAACCTTAATCTTTTCCTCTCTAGTGGTCACCAGAAAGAAAGCACATGCTCTTGGGACTGAGAACTCAGGTCTAAATAGAACTAGAAGGTTTTATTTTGCAGGAGAAAAACAAGATTCAGTGTATGTTGAAGAAAAAGTGCTACTCCAGTGGGATTTGGACATATAGGTGTCTATAAACCTGCTCTCCTTACTCTACAGAACCTCTTGGAGTGATGGTAAGAGGCTGCTGTAGTGGTCTCAGTGAAGTTGAACCTCTACATTGCTGCTTTGGTGGAAGATTTTCTTTTTTATCAATCTTGCCAGCACAGAATCAGGCTTCTGAGTTATGGGAATTTTTTCTGTATGAGGCAAAGTAGCTCAATGAGGCCATGAAATGGTGGAATTGCTGGTAGGATTTTCTTTTAAATGCTTAATTACTAAGAAAATAACCCAAGAATGTAACATGAAATAACTTACACATCTGGAAATTGATTTCTCTATAACAACAGGAACTTTGTTATCTGCGCACATATGCAATCAGTTCTGGGTGACACCCCAGGACTCTCTTCCTAGTTCTAGGAAATACTTTAATATTGATTCAACTCTTCTGAGATTAGCAAGCTGCTCTTGCCAAGGCTGGCAAGTCGCTGAGACACAGTCTTGCCTCAGGCTCACATAGTGGTCAGGATTGGCTTGCAGAGATCATGTCTTCTCATGGCTAGTTGCAAAAAAAGCCACTGCTGCTGATGCTGACAGCTAAGAAAAAGCTTTACCAAATTGCAATTTCCGAGTGACAATTATAGCTACCTCTGTGTCCCTGGAATGAGAAGGAGGCTTTAAACAAACAAAATAGAAAAGTAAGTACAGTATGAGACCCTCTCTATGTTTTTTCCCAGGAAGCCTGGTCTTGCAGATGTTTGTAGTTTGGGATCTTATATATCTTCATCTTTCACCATTTAACCTACCTGGATTTGGGATTATGCTGATTTATAAAGCCATAATCTGAATTATGGCTTTATAAATCACCTGAATCTCCTATGATCAGTTCATTTACAAATATTGAATTTCCTGGCAAGGTTGTCCTTAAGTGACACTTGTTTTGGGTTTTTTTGATAAGATACATTTCTATTCCCCTGGCAGATTATTTCAGTTTGGCCTGCAGGATGATATTTACATGTTGGTAATTTTCAGAGGATACTTGCTCCCGGTTGATGTCAGCTGGTCTTTTATTCTCACACCAGAGTTCTTCCAGTAAGCTGTGTCAACAAGACCTCTGTCAGGAGCAGTGGTGATTGTTCCTGCTCCAGAGCTATTCAGTGCACCTCCTTTCAGTTCTAGAGGGAATCTTATAAGCCTCTACAGTAGGAAGTAGAAGTTTTCTCAGAAGCAGTGTGCCAGATTGTACCTTTCTCAAATTAGAGGATAAAGATGCCCATAGGAACTCAGCAGGCTGCTTCTTAAAGATTTGTGTGTCCAGTAATTAGAACATCAGTATCTCACTGGCATTTGAGGCATCACTTCCTCCTTTGTTCAGCATGCAGTGGCATTCAAAGAGTAGCAGCTGATTGCCTCCCAGAGGTATCTTTGTGAAGATGCTACAGCCCCCAGTGCCCAAAGCTATGGCACAGCTAAGCATGTCCCAGCTTCGGGGTCAGCCCAGCGGGCACTGCCTCCTCTGCTTGAGTATCTAAAGCTGGAGTTTTCCATTGGAGCTGCACTCTTCCCCTGAGAAAAACACAGTTTGGAAGCAGGTGCTCCAGAGGAAAGTGCGGGGAAAAAATGTGGAGACCATTTCCCTGCTCTGTGGTTCAAAGCTTCTTCACTTTGCCACTGTCTTCACCTGCAAACCACAGGCTTTGCTTGGAGACTTACTTCTGGGGATGCTATATTGTACTGGTGATCAAGATTCAAATTTTCAATCTACGAATTCTTTTTCTGGGCTATAGAGGACAATATGCTTGGACTAGGAACGATGGGACTATTTCAATAATTTACTTTTTGAAGGATTAGAAAATTCTTGGCGAAAAAAGGAGGTATTTCACAAAGAAATTTAGAGTAGCTCTTCTAGAGCACAAATACATGGTCTAAGGCAATTCACATTACTCCATATAATGTGTAATGTGAATACACACATATAGGGTTTCTCTTATGAAATAGGGTTTCTCTTATGAAAAATTTGGAATTATCCATGTGTGAGAAATGGAAAGGAAGGAGAACAGCCTGTTTTATGTAGATTGGAAAAGATTCATCCTATGGAGTTTCATTGGGAAGTTGTATGTCAGTGAGACACCAATGAGAATTTTTACTCCAGAAGGTGAAAATTTTTCTCCTAAAGTGCTACTTTCTAATAAAATCACTGCTAATTAAATTTCCTCTCTGCTTTCCATTCAGTTATCACTAAAAAAAATCAGCTGATGGCTTTTATTAGTTATTTCAAAGACATCAATTAAAGAGTTCTAATTACCATTTTAAATCTCAAGCTTTTGATAATGAAGATTGTTATTTTATGAACAATATGTGTCTAGCCTTTGCTTGCTTTAACTTTCATTGTCAAATTGAAAAATAAGGGTTTTATTACAAAGGGAAATTTATTATTTCCTAGCAATAATATACTGAAAAAACAGCATTTATAGGGCTTCCTATCTCTTTATTATCACCTTTATGTTCTAAATGAAGAGACAAATAAAGGAAACAATGAAGACAATGGAAAGGAGAATTGCACTTACTCAGATATGCAGCCTTGTGAATTCCTCACCACTTTAGATTGTCATCCAAGAAAGGTGTACAGCAACTCCTGCAATGTTGAGGCCTCTCAGTCTGGGGATTTGAGCTGAGAGTCTCCTGCCTCTTTTAACCCTACATATCTGGATTTCCTGCTCTTGCAAGCCAGGTGCAAAGTGGGAGACATGGAGAGCAATGACATCTTGGGTGGGCATGCCACAAGAAACAAACTGCATGCAGTTCCTGGCACTCCCAGATGAAATCTGGCTTCTGTTGCTATTTGTAGCATATTTTTTCTGTTTCTTCAGTGTCACTTTCTTTGTATCATTAATCTCAGCCAGACATAGTACTGTTTACTTGCCCAAGCATTGCTGAGTATCATTAAACAGGTACAAAATGTCATGCCAGATTTCCAATTTTTTTTGAGAATGTCTAAAAATAGCATTTGCATTACTTGCATCAGCTGGAGATTTTAGGACATGTGGATATGATAAGAACTTCCCTACATTGCAGATTGTAAAAGATAATCAAGCCTTGGCTCAGAGAGGGGTGCAGAGAAGTAAAGGTTTCTTGCCTATGACAAGCCAGCTGGCAGAGCCCTTGCACAATCTACAGGGTAAAATTCTCAGGAGCCCTGCTTCACAGCTATCACACTCTGTCCTTTTTCATGCCCCTGGGCACACAGGAATGCTCCTTACATTGTTCCTTCTGCCAGACTATGGTCTGCTCAGCTTCCTTCAGCCCTGATGTGGCAGGAACAGCTTGAGCAAAGTAGAATAAGAACAAGGTATTACTCTGCCTCCACAGAAACATGCTTAGCCTTTTTGTATAGCTGAGGTAAGGCTGGTTCCCTCAAGCACATAATTAGTTACAGAGGCATTGCAGCTAGGCATACATGCCTCTTCATTTTTTTTTATAACTTGTTACCAGGTTGCTGCATGAATTTGGAAATTAACTGTGTTGAGAAAGCTCTTCAAAACTTGGAAGGAGGAGAATGAGACATGACTTCTTCCCCCCTTCCTCTTCAGGGAATTTTTAAAAAAGGATGTAGGATTTTAAGATAACTCACCTTTATTCACATTCTGAAGACTTGTGTGAGCAGTTACCATTCACCTATTTCAGTGCAGTCATTTAAGGTCTGGGCATTTCCAACGTCAGAGTTCAGTTACATGCAGCTGAAGGGCTGGAAGTGACAGAAATGTGTAAGCTGGTTCTTGTCTGCTCCCTTGCAGCCAGCTGTACCACAGAGCAGTTCCCCAGTATATGGTAGAGTACTACAAACACTGCTCTAATATATGCCAGCATTTGTGAGAGCCCATCCACCCAACCTGGTGCTTTATCTCACCTCTGACAGTGTCCTGGATGCCAGACTGGAACAAGGTGACACAGGACACATGGCTCTTGGTGATGTTCGGGCAGAGGGGTAGCACTACTGCCGGTGTCACCTGCACCAGGGGTGATCTTGTCTTCTGGCAATGCTGTAAACAGATGTAACCAAATCTCTCGCCAAGTAATCCCCAGGTTTCATTTCACAAGAGGGTTTTTGCTTTGACGTATCTGCTGCTGAAAGATGTTCCTGCTAATAATATTGTCCAAGTTAAGAAGTAATTGAGCAGCATTAGATGGCATGGATCCTTCTTCAAATGCTGAGAAGTTTTGTTGGTAGTGGAAGTGTAACCAAATGCCTAACAATCAGCAATTAGGCTTGGGAAAAGGGGATTTGGTTGTTAGGGTTTATTTCTGTTCTTCTTTTTGTTTTTTCTTAGTTGTAAATTTCCAGTATCAATAGGATAATGTCAGACTGAAAAATTTTGTGGTATCAATCTTAAAACGATTTGTCTTGCAGCCACATAGTTTTGAAAGAGCATTATTTAGAGGAATAGCTAATTGGGGATTTTACTAAATACTTTCAATACTTACTTTTATGGGTACAGTGATTTATTCTAGTTCTCATGAAGGAGACCTGATTTCCCAGCTCAGCTTTTATAGTAGCTGTGCCAGCTGCTGAATTCAAAGATGTAATTCCCCAGAACAGTGATCTGATAAAAGATCTGAAGTCTCCTACAGAGTTTTTTCTAGATGTGCTGTATGTGAACATTATCTGTCTGCTCTTTTAGGAGGAAATACGTCCTCAGTTTGAAGCCAAATACTCCAAGAAAGAACGAATGAACCCCATATCTGGGAAGCCAGAGCCTTATCAAGCATTTGCAGATAAATGCAGCAGACTCATCGTTTCTGCATCTGGAATATTTTTTATGGTTTGACAACATTTATTTATTTAAAAGTACAAAATATCATTATCTCTGCTAGTAGAGTAGGTAAATATTGGATATGACTGCTTGAAAGTGGAATGAGCTCTATGCATGTTGAAAATCTACATAGCAAATCACTTGAGTTCTGTCAAGTCTTACACTGGTTCACTCTTCACCATCAGTCTCACAGATAGCTAACCCCTTCCTTCAAGGCTGCACCTGTGACACTGTATGTAGTGACACAAGCCAGAATAGTGACACTATCACATTCAGGCACCAGCTTGAGTTGGCTGAACTAGCTCGCTGGTAACTTTGCCTGTGTAGGCAGTGCAGAGTGATGGGGAAAGCATAGGAGAAGCAGTTTTTCTTTGTAAACTTCCCAGAGAACATAAATAGGATGCCTAGAGTGCTTAATGATGTTAATAAAATCTAGTTTCTCAGTGTGTTGAGGAGATGAGGAAAGAGTTCATATTCCTAGTGCAGCTGAAATGGAGAAACCAATGTTCCTTGACTAAAATGATGCATTTATCCCTTTAGTTATGCAAAACTAAAAGGAGCAGCAAAATCTCTCCTAATAGAGAGCTGCATGCACTTCTGCAGAAACACCCCCATCCCCTAATTTCAGTGAAGCAGATGTGGGCTGTTATTCACATGACAACAGGAGTGGTAGTGCTGCTCTTGAAAGCACAGTGCTGGTCTGGAATCAACAGACTGTTGCGGAATTTACTGGGGCTTTTCCAGGAGACAAGACAATGATAGATGTGTACAGCCTCAGGAGCTGTGGAGAGCCAGGTAAGTGAGCAACAGGGCAGAGGACAGTAGGAGATTGATGGCTCCAAAATTGTCCAAAACTATCTAGGTCAAGAAAGGCAAGAGCATTATTGAGATGAACTGTGCTCTGGTACGTCAGGTGGATGGACACCCTGACTCAGCCCTTGAGGACACGTACTCAGGACTGCAGTCTCTGCTCAGAATTGATACTACAACTCCCATATTTTGTGTATTTTCCCCATGTTTTTTTTCTTGAAGGGTGGCAGTAATTTACCTTATGCAAACACAGTCATTAATCTTCTTAGACTAGTGATAGATCTTACTCAAAGTTCCAGAGAGAGTAGCCTTGCATTAAATTGCGTGTACCACAAAATATTGTCCCCATAACAGCCCTTAAAATAGGACAAAAATTATTTTCACTGAAGTTATTTTTACTGTTGGCATAGCATGGGCTTCCAGCAAGTTAGAGAATCTACACTTTTTTAACCATTTAGATAAGATCTTTTTTTTTTATTACACCTATAACAGGAGATATACACTTACCAAACTTCAAGTTAGAGCAGTTCTCAAAATTACTCAGCACAGACTCTCACGGTGTAGTAAATAATACAGCTCAACTGTTGCATGAGGAACATTTAGTCATTAAGCAGCAGCTGTGGCTTTCTCATTCTAATTGTCACATTTGCTGAAAGTCTCATCAGAGAAGAAATCACAAAAGCAATCGAACTGGTTACCTTCTCTAGATAGAAACTTCCCAAAACTGTAGGAAGAAACAGCTAGGCTGGCTTGGCTGGGCTGTTTTTGAGGCAGTGCTTACAAATGGAGACATTTGTGTGAAGAGTGAAGTCCATGAGATCACAAAATCCATCCCAAGTATGATACCATCAAGCTGCAACAGCAGCTTGAGACTAGCCTCTACACATCATGTGCAGATAAGGAAAATTTCTAATTCCCAGAGCTGGCAATACTGTTTCCCGCATTAACGCTAAGGGCAAGGAAGATTTTCAAGAAAATGCTTAAAACTAAAAGTTATTTTAATATTTTTGGTGATATTTTTTTGTTATGAGAAATAACAAGAACTTAACAAGAAGAAAAATTATGATGTTGACACCTTCCTCTGGAATCAAAAAGAATACACTTTTAAAGTCTTTAATTTCATTTAATTTTAAGAGTTTCAGGGACAAAGTAACTCCTGTTACACTGGAAGTTTTCAGGTTCTTCTCTCTGATTTTTTCCTTCCCTTAGATCTGTGTGGTGATTGCTGCTGTTTTTGGCATTGTTATTTACCGTGTTGTGACTGTCAGCACTTTCGCTGCCTTTAAGTGGGCTTTAATCAGGAATAACTCTCAGGTTGCAACTACAGGGACTGCAGTGTGCATCAACTTTTGCATCATCATGCTACTGAATGTGGTGAGTAAAATTAACATATCCAAAGTTATACCTAAGCCACCAGAGCAGTAGATGTTCTCAGTCAGCAGACGACCAAATGCTTTCATTTCTTTTTTTCAGCAGGAGTGGAGTGTCATGCTGAGCCAGACATGGAATTATTGTTTATGGACATCATTTACTATTTATATAAAGTGCAATTCCAACCCCAAAATATTATGCAAAGTATGTTTGAATATTATGAAAATATTTTAGGGAGATGATCATACCCTTGCTTTATCCTCTGCCACTTCTTTCCCTTTTACATATATGCAGTTTTCAGTCCACTTCATTAATACTCTTCTTTTTAATTATGTTTTGATGGGTTTTTTTAATATAGTGACAAAGCTAATTCATATTTACACTAATTTCAGTAATTCTAATTTCAGCTGTCATGGTGGTTTTCCAGTGAGGATATGCATATGCAGACCTGTGACAGTGTTCACAGGGGTTCTTGGATGAGGGAAGAGATGAGAATGTTGACTCCATGTTTCAGAAGGCTTGATTTATTATTTTATTATATATATTACATTAAAACTATACTAAAAGAATAGAAAAAAATGTTTCATCAGAAGGCTAGCTAAGAATAGAAAGGAATGATAACAAAGGCTTGTGGCTCGGGCTCTGTGTCCAGGCCAGCTGGGCTGTGATTGGCCATTAATTACAAACAACCACGAGACCAATCACAGATCCACTTGTTGCATTGCACAGCAGCAGATAACCATTGTTTACATTTTGTTCCTGAGGCCTCTCAGCTTCTCAGGAGGAAAAATCCTAAGGAAAGGATTTTTCATGAAAAGATGTCTGCAACACAGACCCAATGTCCATAAGCAGAACTCTCTTGAGCAGAAAGCTCCAGAAGGCTTGAGCAGATGTGATTTGTTCCAGAGTGTCCATGGCCTTTGCCAGCGTGCACCAGAGACATGGCCTGGGTGCACTGCAGTGGGGCTGGCTGATGGCAGCTATTGTTGTGGGCTGGTTTGGAACCAGACTTGGGACAAAGACAAAAATGGAATTTCTATGTGGCAACAGTCCCAGTAAGAGAGTAGAGCATAGATTAGATGGGGAATGAGTTCCCTCCTTCCACTGAGATGCTGATACTCCTGTATGCTGTTCTGATAGCAATGTGTCTGCTCTTTGTTGCTCTTGGCAAGATGTGTATGGCCTTCCACTATCAGGTTTTGTCAATTGACATTATAGAAATGCCTTTTAGGGGAAGGAGGGTTCAGCCTACAAACCAGGCTGGCACTGGAGCCAGAGTGTATCTCTGCCTACTCAACAGCAAGCATCCTCTGCAAACAGCTTGTTAGGCTTCACTCCAGGAGATACGCTGATTTACTTCCTAGGGAAAAGATGAGATGTTATTTCAGGTCTGCTCATTTCCAAGGCTGGCTTAGAGACTTCTTTCTTCTCTATGCAATATCCAAGCATTTACATAATCTAAAAATTCTTTTTGATGGGTCCTTTTTTATATGGCAGGAAATTCCAAGAGTGTTTGCTGCAGGACTTTGCTTCTTTCTTTGAAGAAGGAAGAAGGCAAGACTGGATTAGTGACTAAAACAGTCTATCCAGAACTGTTGTTTTTCCTATGTTTTCCCTTAGGTGGGACTGTAGGCTGAGAAAGGACAGAAAGGAGGAAGCTGATTTTCTGTCCGAGATTGTACTGAGGGCTCTCTTCTTTTATGTCATTTTTATTTTATTGGGTTTTCTCTCTAGCTTTGGGTGATTTTCTTTACATAGAGGACACAATAAGCATAAAAGAAAAAATTGAAAACTATATATATATATCTATGCCAGTGCAACATCTATTTTCAAGCTCTCGGTGTAAGTCATTGTATATTCAGTGAAGCAGCAACAAAGAAATGCTGCAGAAATGAAATTTCTTCATTCCCAAAGAGTTTAACAGCTCTGAGATTTTTCTTTTAAATAATGGAAGATTGCTTGAAGGTGCCTTTTGAGAAACTTTGTTTTATTTCTTAAAATTATCAAATAAGTGGAGCACTGCAAAGATGGATTTCTCTAGCCTCATACGCATCACCATTCAACAAACACCACAACCTTGGATCTGGATATAGCTCATGGAAGAAAAAGATCCACAAATATGAAACTGCAGGAGTTTTTCAAAGGAAGGTTTTAGGAGCATAATCCCTTGCTTCCCATGATGGATTAATGTAGTTTACTGAAGGGCAATCTTGGGATTTCTTCTGGGAGAAGAAAAATCCCCAGAAGCAATTCAGGTAGTAGAATCCTGCATGAACTGTGATTCAAGAAAAGTGCCAGAAGAGCAAGAAAATATACAGTAATAAAACCAGAACAGGCCAAGATGTGCATAGCAGTAGAGAATTCACTGCTAGAAGACTTGAAAACCAGCAGTGATTTTGATACAAGCTGACAGCCTAAGCCTCTCAAAGCATCAGAGGAAAGGTCTAGACCACAAGTAAATTCCAGACCAGACGTTCTGAGCACACAACAAAACAAAGTGACCCTCGAGCATAATGTCTCTCAGATAACCTTGCAGCCTGACCTGGAAACAATCAGTAGCTTTACCTAGGCTATGTAAAACTGTTAATTCCAGTAATATTGCCCATGGAAAATAGGAACAGAGAACAGAATATGATCCCAAACGGGGTCCCTTGAGGGTAGTAGTGATAAACGACACTAGCAGACAATTAGATCCAATCATTGTTAACAGAATCTCTAACACAGTCTTACTGTTCCAAATGGAGTAGCAACAAATTGAAATTTTAATAAACCCTTCTGTAGAGCAGTGAACATTTGTAAAAAAAAACACACTCCCTGCTGGGATCAGGATATAAATGACCCAGACATTTGGCACGTTTACAGTTGCCCTTAAGAGATGCTTTTAAACCCAGAAGAAACTACCTTTGTCATTACTTGAAACAAAACCATTTACTCCAAAGGCAGTGGAAAACTATTCTAAGCATGAAGTGGTTGTTAACATGGATGAGAGATTTCAGGATGACTTCAGCTCTTAAGCAGGCAGTTTGGCCTGTAAACAATACATAACTCAATTTAAGCAAGAGATTCTAGGAATAACTGCAAATAAAAAGAAACTTTGCTGAAAATGCACTGTAGGAGTAAGTAAATACTTGAGCTTGAAATATGAGAGGCTTTGTATTCCTGCAGGCGTCAGTGAGAGTTAAGGACATTTAGCAATTTGTAGGAATAGGCTCCAGACTCATTTAAAGCAAATGGAAATAATTGAATTCATTTACTCTAATACTGATGGTGTTGGTGATGTAGTTAATAGGTTCAAAACTCCTTTGCAAATACTGATTGTGAAAACCCTTCAAGTTAGTTTTGTAATCTTAACAAAGTTTGGAGTCTCCTGGAGAGTCTGAGAGCATGGTACCTGAAGGTGCAGAAAGTACCACTTAGGATTTAGAAAAATGACACTGGCTCAGAGTAAGAAATCTGTCTGGTGGTGGGGATTACTAAAGATTTTCTCTGAAGTAAACCTGTCCCCCCAGTGTTTTTCCTCTCAGCACCAAAGTGCCAAGCAAAATCAAAAAGCCCCAAATAAACAACATATCCAACATACCATAGCATGCTCTTCTAGAGCGATTTTTCCCTTGTGAGGTGAATGTTCCATAAGTAACTAAAACAAAAATCTCAGTCATGCTGTTGTTTCTTCTTTTCTTTTTGGAAAAGTTCTCTCACCCTTTTTCACTCTGTATATAAAATAGGGACAATGACAGCATTTCTTCTCCATATATTATGGATAAGCATTAGATATAAAAACTTTACTCTTCCTTGTTTGATTATATCATTGTTGTAATATTATCTAGTTTTATTGTCATTATCAGAACATCACAGAAATCATCTGCATGTCAGATTTAACATGTTCTCTTCCTAGATTTAACATGTTCTCTCCATTTTTGAGCCAGCCATGTAACTAAGAGGCTGTTTCTTCTCTGTTACAGCTGTATGAAAAAGTTGCTCTTTTCCTGACAAATTTAGGTAAGTAATGTTAAATATAAAATTGAATAATATTGTACTTATTTATTGGTCCATAGACCATGATAAAATTCAAAATGTCTGCATAAATAGGAAAAATCTTAATTAATTTGCAATCTATAGGAATTAATGTTTTTCTTATGTTTGTAAAAAGAAAGTATATAAACTAAACTACTGTGCCATTCAACCAGTGGTGATAACAGTCATCCACCTTTGTTCTTGTTTCAACCCCCTACCATCTAAGAATGTAAACAAATTCTTTACTATAAGTACATGTAAAATTTTTACCTTGGAAGAAAAGACATGAGTTTTCAGACAGACTTAGCACTCACAACCTCCAGGGTTTGTAAAAATGGAAAAAATGGAAAAAGGGAGCCACTTCTGGAAAACAAATTCATAGCTTGAAACCAAGGTGCTGATTGGCTATCAAACATCTGCCTTTAAGAAGGGCAGTAAGGAGGGAAAATGACGAGGTGAATCATCAACTCTACCTACACCTAAACTACATGATGTTCTAAATTCCAGTGATCCTTTCAGCTCACTTGCAAAGGCAGTCTTTATGCTAGAGCAAGGAAACATGTTTTCTAAGGAGAGCATCCACTGTCAATGGGGTAAAAGCAGGCTGTCATTCATATACCCATGGCTCAGACAGGATCTGTGAAGATCCTGATCTATTATCCTGATATATTTGGAAGATTGCAGTAGTTGGGGGCAATTGGCAAGGGCTCCTTAATATCAAGAAGCCTGAAATGAGACTCTGGCTGAAGGCCTATTAAGCAAACCATATTATTGCACATATACAAGTGGTTTGAGGAGGTTATTTTGAGCTCCTGAAAACCAGTGTACATTGATGATGCTCAGTAAATTATTTTGGACCAGACAGACAGATGTCGATGCTTTGATGCTCAAAGGAAACAACCGATTTTAGCTTCTCACAGGGCTTTTCTACATCTGTGTAGAAAAGAATTCTATTCATTTCTTAGTAAACTGAGAGTCCTCATTTGTATGCTGTAGTTTTAAAATATTTTTGCTATCCTGTATCCATGGAGAAGATATCTGCTAGCTACAGCTGGGAAATAGGACTTTCAAGTTTGTGAATTGTACAAGCTATATCCTGACAGCCTGGGGACAGACAGTAAGATATATTCTAGAGACCTTGAAGCTTGATTATTTTCTGTTAGGTTGTCATCAAGGCAGGTCTGCTTTTTGCAGAAAGCACTTGTATGAAAATTCAGCAGGTCAAGTTTTTTTGAACCTGTTCAGATGGTTTTGTGATTTTTATTCTAGTGGCCAAAGGAACTGATTTGATTTGAATTATCTTTATCAGTGTAATAAGCTCAAAGTAGAACTGGCAGCAAAAGTACATTGAAGACATTGAGGATGTTCTTCTTCAGCTTTTGCATGACCTTTTTCAGAACTCACATCTGTGCTCCTCCAGAGCATCACCATTGTCTCTGATGGGCATGTGAGCAAAGCTTCAGCTGCAGCAGCCTTGTTATAGTCAAACTTGTCCTTCCTGCAGACTGGCATCTGATGAAAGGACAGCTCCAAGTAAAGAGAATCAAGTTTATTGCTTTTTCTTTGCTTCTAGTACTTTACTGGAGGCTGCTTGGGAAGCAGTATATGATTACTATCATTATGATACTCAGAATCACCATTAGTAACTCCACTTCTCTGATTACTCCTGTTCACAGGAATGGTCAGCTAACAACAAGCTCCTGCCAGCTGGAAAGTAGTTCCAGAATATGGAACTGGTGTGTTGGCATGGACATTGTTTTGTTAACTTCTGTCTTGATATTTCTTGAGATGGAGAATAAGGAACAGTACCCAAAGACAAGAATATGTCTTCCCCTTTCCTGTTAGCCTTAGCCCATCCACTGAAAAATTTTTTCTTGGATTTTTGTGACAAGCTCCCTGGGACAAGGAAGGGGAGCCATGAAGTAGCACTCCTCTGATATATGTGGGCAAATCCATGAAACAGAATTACTAGGAGGATTTTCTTCAGTTCATGTGGCATCTCTAACAAAAGGCATTTAAATAGCTTTGGTGGAGTGGCAATATCATTATGGTAGGATACAGAAAATTATACAAGAGAGGAGCCTGAGCCTGTAAAGACCACTTAAATACAGGTGGGATGTTTAATATACACATTACCTTGACCACTTTCTTACAGTCTCGGGGGAACATACATATATATGCAGACACCAGAATAGATTTCTAAGTCTCTACAAGCTCACTTGCTGAATCCTGCTTCTGGGTACAATTTCCTCTGCCAGGTTATATTTTGAAAACAGCAGGCTAATTTACAAATATCTTGCCAGCTCTTACAGCTGTGTGCAGCCTTTGTGCCAAGGGAAATTGATAATCTGAATAAGCTTCTGAAACTCTGATCATTTTCTTCACAGAGCAGCCTCGTACGGAATCGGAGTGGGAGAACAGCTTCACTCTGAAAATGTTTCTTTTTCAGTTTGTCAATCTGAACAGTTCTACCTTTTATATAGCATTCTTCCTTGGAAGGTAGGATTGATGTCTGCACACTCATATGTGAAAAATGAAGTAGAGAGAAGAAATAAAATTGTTTGTAATGAAACAAAATGGACCATATTATCACACATATCAAAATGCAAATTCCAGCAGAACAGATTGCAGTTTTGTACTCCTTTCAAAAGCCCAGAAACAGATGCAGTTTTCATTTCCTATCACCACATGGTCTCAATATTAACTTAACAATTTCACTATTGGAAACAGATGCATCTCACAATACTATACATGCAGGTAATTTCACTCTGGTTTTATGTGTGTTATTTGTACACATAAATAAAGGATAGGATAGGATAGTTCAGTTGGAAGGGACCTGCTCTGATTACATGATCTGAACTGTTAAGAGTGAGTTATGAGCTATCATTTGAGGGGGGGTTTCCACATATATATCTATTATATTTTTATTTTATATTTTATATACATGTATTTTTGTGTATTTATGTATCTATCTAAGTATATATTATTTGTTTATCTCTTTCTGGTAGTCCCCTAAAAAAAGACCTTTTTAGTAGAGAAGGTTTGAGTGGAAGAATCCATTAGTATGGATTATTTACATATGGGAAAAACTTTGGGGGAAAACACAGGAGAATAGTTAGAAAATTATGTTTTTTACTTAAAACTAAAATTTTCACTGATTTCACGGGAAGGCAGACATCACAGAGCATTTTATGTTGTAAGGAAATGGACTGGCAGTTGAAAGCCATTTTCCAAACTGATGTGAGCAGTTTTAGTCAGATTTTCCCTCTGCTCTGCCTGTGTTGAATATCCAATGGCAGAGCCATGGTATTGAAACAAAACTGCAGCAAAAATATCTGTAGTCCTTCATGAGGATTATTCCAGGAATACCCATAAAACTTTTTACAGCATAACATCTTTTATAGTTACACCAGTCACATAAAGATAACACCAGATTAAAATTAAAATTAGAGTGTGAGCTTTCTTGTACTACTGTGCACAGACTGCTGACACAACATGGTTGATCTATATTCCTGTGTTAAAGATTTACAGGACACCCTGGTGCCTACTTAAGGCTGATAAACCGGTGGAGGCTGGAAGAGGTGAGTGTTTGATAGCTGCATGCTGATTGATCTGCTGCCCACAGATGCCATGGATGCAAGCAGAAGCAGACACTGAAATCTGCCCAGGCAGTTTTGAGTGTGTTATTGGGTTTTCAGTGGCTGTCTAACTCCAAACTATTGACACTACCATCTGCTACAAACACATCTACATATTGATATAAATATATATATATATATGTATTTCCTTTTCAAGGCTAGCAGTTCTAGTGTTGGCATCACATTCAAACAGTGGTATCAGATGGTTTAAAGATTCCTCACATTGGAAATATTTTATCCTTGGAATGAATCAAAGTCAAATACAAATGTGACAACATTTTTCTTCAAAAAAAGTCCTTTCTTCTCAGTTTTTCTAGCCTTGAAGATCAGAGAGCTAAAATAATAAAGTAATGAATTAAAAATCCAGACACATAAAATGTATGTGAAATTTGACCAAAACAACTAAAAAAACTTCCCAAACAAGCTACTGGCATAATGTCTCATGTCTATAAAATCAAATTAATATGAAAAGCAATGAGAGTTTGGCTTTGCAAGTTACTCAAGGACCAATTCCATTTTATTTATTTTTTTAAATAAATACATTCAGAATTCAAAGCCCATTTGACAGTTATAGGAGGTGAACAGAAGCAGTTTCTGGACCAGTCATTTACTTTCCAGTGCTGCTATCTGCACGCTGAAATCCTGTGGTTTCTCTCCTGCTTCACAGATGAATGATTGAAACAGCTTTGCAGATAAATGACAAATGGCAAGTGGAAAATGCCTGCCAGCTTGAATTTTCAAACACATCTGGATACATAAATATTTTGGTTAATAAAGGCCATTCAAATATTAGCAAAACGAACAAAAGGATTTGAATTTTAATAAAAACATCTTAATTTTGTTGGGAATTCTGTTAATTCAAGGGAGGAATCTTTGATAAATAGACCAACAGAATTTTACTTAACATCCTTCCAAAATCTGTCTGGGGCTGAACTGACTTGCTGCTGTCAAAGGAAAACAGTTCTGGTCTTCCTTCCTCACTCTGAGACTTGCTCCTTCCTCTTCCTCTGCATTGGTTCTCACTTGTCCAGCCCTGTGAGGAGCTATTCAGTTCATTGTATCAGCAGTAAACTTCCTTTTTCTGGCTGAATCAGTCTTCTGCTGATTCAATGGGCTGATTCATTTCACAGAGGGATCAGAGAACATGGAAAGAGTCTCATCTTTGTGCAAGAGAAGAGATGGAAGGAAAAAAGAACCAGGTTTGTGATGAAAGTGCAACAGGAGGTGTTACAGATTAGGTCAGTTGCTGGTGGAAGCTACTCTGAGTAGTCCCTATTTAGCTTTTCTTAGAGAAAAAAAGAGTCCAATAATAAAAAAAAAGAGTCTAATAATGAAAAAGTTATTGACTGTATCTCTGCTAGGTCTTATTAGAAATAACCTGCTTTAGAATACCATGTCCAGATATTCCTCTAATACTCCTCTCTTCACCTGTCAAATTTTGCCATGTCTAAGACATTTAGTTACACTAGTCCAGTGTCCATGGACATGCTCAGACCACAGTTTATGTATTATTGATGTTGTGGTTGTAACATTGCTGCTACTTCATTAACACTGCACCCACCTCTCTCGGGGTATATTCATTCATGTGAACGATTCCTAAAAACAGAAGGATGATGATTTAGTAATAACGAGAGAGAAGAAAAACAAAACAAAACAGAACAAAACAAAAAAACCTAACAAAAAAAACCAAAACCCCCCAGAAACAACAAAAAAACCCCAACCCTGTCACTCTGTTAATCTAAAGAGATGCTAAATGAAGTCATCAGAAACCTCAGCAGTGATCCATGTTCTGAGAGCTGGATAATGAAGTATGTATAAGAAATTAATGTCTCATTTTATTCCAGGTCATAATTTATTTTTCTCCCTAAAAGTTAGAGAGAAATAATTCCAGTTCTGTGGCAGTGATTTGTTTGACGTATCTGTAATACCCAAGATTGTAAAATACAGTTTGAACGACACTGTTTGGATCTGCAAAGTAGAAAATTTTTCATGCCTTTCTGTTTTTTCCAATACCAGATAAAAAATTACCTAAATTTGTACTATCTGAAGATCTCTCCCAAAAGCAGCACCACTGCTTCAGGGTCTAGAGCCACTGCTAAAGCAAGCAAACACTCAGCAAGAAACACTAAGAATTGTTGCTCAGCAGTGAGAGATTTTTAGTTCTTCAAGAAGAGAACAGCTTTGCATGGTTTATTCAGCCGTAGATGTTAAATAGTACTCAATTAATAGTTCTAGGTCTATCCTCTAGGCATAAACTGTTTGGTTTATATGCAGCTAGGAGGAATTCTCTCTTCATTCTTTGACTTGATGCACAGTCACTCTCCCCAGAAGCAATTGAAATCAATGGAGAAACTTGGTGGCCTTTGCCCCTGCCCTGCCCACAGTTGCACAGCACATTAGAAGCACTGCTGTGAAAACTGCATTGGTTTCAGCTGACTCTGACCTCTGCAGATAATTAGGTGATAAGCTTAAAATGCTGACAGTATGATACAGTGTCATCTGTTCCCATGAGTTTACTCTTCTTTCAAAAATAAGGAGAATGCATGTAATTCTCTTTTAGTAAATGATCCAGTATCAGTTATAGCAATAATAAATGCTTTAAAACTCATTATAATTCCTGTTTAACATTTTTTTCTTTTTTTTTTTTTTTTCCTGTAGTGCCACCCTAGTGGATGCCTTATTGATCTCTGTATGCAAATGGGCATTATAATGGTGTTAAAGCAGACATGGAATAATTTCATGGAATTGGGATATCCGTAAGTAAATATAATACCTATGCTTCTGTAGGCCACAGAATATTAAGTTTATGTTTTCCTTACCACCAGTTAATAAAAGCAGGATGCTGTAGTCATTACAACAGAAAATCTCTCCAAGGATACAGAACTCCAGACATATAGATGATGTTTGGGGCTTTTTTCCAGACTGGACACAGTTTGCAGAAGTGAAAGTGTAATATAAATATTAACAAATAAGTAATACATGGGAAGTACTTTATTTTGTTAAATTGTATTCTGTGTTCCTAAACTCCTTAAAAAATACTGTGTGACTACTATGTTGCTTACATTAAAAATATTATATGTATCATTTAGTAGCTATACTAGTAAGGTCTAAATTCTGTTTCTTGTTGGGTGATAAAAGATGTCTGAAAGAGCAGGTATGAGCTAGAAAAAATGCACTGCTGGCACATACACTCTGAAAGATAGAAAAATGACTGGTATGTAGACAAGTTCCCTTGGATTTTCAAGGTAACATGAAGCTGTGCCCTAGCTAAAAGGTTGGAAATTACTCATTTCTTATTGGTTTATTCCTTATTGATTAGTATTTAATGAGCATGTTTAATATGATTAATATAGGTTTAATATGATCAGTGTAGTTTATGCTAGAGAGAGTGTGGATGGTCATCAAGGGAAATTAGCAAGAGTGAAAATCTAAGAGAGAGCTGACACTGTCAGAAAGTTTGCCCTTGCAAAGTTCAGAGGGATTTGCTATTTCTCCATCCTTCCTGGGCCTAGCACTCCTTGTCAGTATTTTGCAGCTGTTAGGGCTGCAGGGATGGGCAGGAGGGAACAGTAGCAGCAGTATTGATCCTTCTCTTTCCATTCCCTACCACTTTTGCCAGTTTTCACTAGAACTTTCTGCTTTCTATTAATACAGATTTTGAAACTTAACAAAGAGCACAGAAGAGAAATAAAAGAAGGTGATTGATAGAGATAGGAGGAGATTGTTTAAGAACAAGTGGTTTAATAGGAATAAACTGCTTCAGGTGAAATGAATCTTCTCTTCAGAGTCACAAGGAAAACCACAATATAAAAGACACAGTCACAACACTGTGAACCACTTCAACTTATTCTGATGAGAGATGTGCTTGCTCTCCAGACCCTTCAGTCCATCTTCTAGCCCTGAAATGCTGCAAGTAGATACATTTCCTTTTTGTGTGAAAAACACCTTTCTACTAAGAGCTTGATGGCAGCCAACACAATGTGGATGGCCAGAGGACTTGGAGGCAGCCCTGCACTCTGTACCTGAATTCAGTTGAACTGCACTCAGTTTCACCTACACTTCTTTAAGGAAGACAGGAAAAGCTGTAATCTTCCTGATAAATTACATAAATGGAAAAATAATCTTTGAGATTCAAGAAAACAAGCAGCTGTCCAAACCCTTACCCAAATCTAATGACTATTGGCAGTCACTTTGCACCATTCACAGACCAGACCAGGCCACTGTGAGGGGAAGAAGTGAAGCATTGTCAGGAAAAGGACTGAAGTATTTGGGTGATCTATCATGGTTTTTCTTACCGAAACAAAGTGGCCAACCACAACTTCAGAGAAAATCTGTCATTGTGATGAAAATCTGTCATTTGGGGTTTTTTTTCTCTCTACAGTAACTCTTAACTAGTGTCCTTTGTTGGCCATACCAGTGCAACTCCCTGAAAAGGTGTTTATTTCAGATGTGAGAATTCATTTCACTTTTGGCTCACTGCCTTTCTCAGTGCTCTTACACATGCATTTCTTTGGGAACAGTATCTTCCCCCTGATGTCCAGTACAGGTCCCCCATTTCTTGAGATGGAGGTAGCTCCTATGTCGGCCATCCATCTCTCAGCCACCATGGTAGTTCAGACATTTCTTTCTGCCTCTTTCTCCTCTGAATATTTGGCTGCAGACACCGTTCAGGTTTCCTTTTGCCTCCCAGGATTGCCCAGAGACTGTTACCCTGCACTCTGTAGAGCCATGCAGAGATGCAGGGTCACACACAGAGGAAAGAATCCAGCAGCATTATTACCACTCTTATTTACTGAGCTCAGCTATCTCCACGCAGCACTGCATTCTGCCACATAAACAAACCATGAAGTGATTTGCCATTCTGTGCAGAGAAAAATAAGTAAATAAATACTGAAAATATGTCAAAATCCTTTCATCGTTTTAACAACATATAGGCTGGGATTACAGCTCATCAGCTGCATCTGTTTTCATACCTATTATGCTGTGTCATCATCCACATGTATTACCAATGCTCCGTTTTCCTGTACATTGGGAAATGAATTTTGCAGGATATGTTGTGCCCACTTAAGCTCTTCCAATGTTGTGATAAATAGCCATTCATATTCTTTACTTTGTTTCTTTTCTTTAATTTAAAATGTAGGCTAATTCAAAACTGGTGGACCAGGAGGAAACTACGGCAAGAGTATGGCACACAGGGGAAAACAAGCTTCCCACAGTGGGAAAAGGACTATAATCTGCAGCCTATGAATGCTTATGGACTCTTTGATGAATACCTAGAAATGAGTATGGCTCTAACCTTCATTCTCTCTCTTTCACTATATTTTAATGTTGTTGGTGTTTTGTTGATGTGGGCTGGTGAATTCTTTTAATTATCACTATATGAAGCTGAGGAGACTGCAAAAAGGTTTCATTCTCACAGGTCAGGTGAGGAATGGGAGTCAGTTTTTAAGAACCAAACCAATGTAGTTAAGCATGCTGCTGATGATTTGCTAACCTCCCATCTATGAAACATTTCCCATTCTGGATTTTTTTCTCCAAACCAGAGCCCAGTTCTTTATCTGCATACATTTCTGAAGAACTTTGCTGTTATTTTCTAAAAAAGTTGTCCTGTGTTTTTCCTTTGAAGTGCGTGATACAGACCAGCATGCTTATTATTTATGTTTAAAATCCTCCCTCATTTACTACCTTACATTAACAAAGTAACTTACTGCCAAGAAGGCATTGCTCTATCAAGAGGAGAGAGGAGAATAACTGCTCAAAAAAAGATATTAAAAAAAATGAACTTTTGCCCTATGTGACTGAACTGCATATGTCATGATTGTTTTTTTCCTTTTCTGCCTCACACAGTTCTTTTCAAATTAATGGGAAATCTGATACCCTGAAAACCTACCTCTAGAAACTTAAACAGAATTTCAAACTGTTTCCCATCTGGACTATTAAAAAGAATGTATTCATCCCTAATCTTTGCAAGTATTGAGAGATCCTAGCTGATGCTGGAGTAAAAATGTCCCTTTCTAAAAGCGCAGTTTGTCCCCTTCAGAACTTCATTCCAAATTACAAAATTTACATGGTGCTGTCCATTCCAGGGGCTTTTTATTCTTTCTTCTAACTTTTGACAAGGACTTGCTGTAAAATTGCCACTAGACCATTATATAGTATGACATATAAGAAGTGTCTGTATACTTTGTATATACTGCTTATTTGCATAGACTGTTTGGTATTTTAGACCTTTGGGATTGGATCCTAACTGCTCTTCTGTGATATTTCCTTTTTTTTCCCCCCAGTTCTTCAGTTTGGGTTCACAACCATTTTTGTGGCAGCTTTTCCACTGGCACCACTTCTGGCCTTACTAAACAATATTATTGAAATTCGGCTTGATGCTTACAAATTTGTTACTCAGTGGAGAAGACCTTTAGCTTCAAGAGCCAAAGATATAGGTGAGCTCTTTGTTAAGAGGTGTTTGTTATATATATATGTGTTATTCATCAAAGCTTTGACCACTTCAAGTAAGAGCAGATTAAGGTATTGTCAGTCATCTTCCCAATTAATAATACACCCCTTGACTGTTCAAAAAAACTTAAAGTATCTGATGCCAATCAACTTATGCAATTAATAGTCTATGATCTTTTAATGATTTTCTGGAGGATTTAACAGCCAAGGTGTAAAGTGATCAGTGTCCTCTGCAGGTGCTTTTTTATGGCAGACACACTGTGCCAACACAGGCTGCTGCTCAACTTGAACACAATAACCAGACATATCAGATGAAACATGCAAGTCAAGTTAAAGTGGCCACCATCCTGTAAGGAACCTGTATGATTTTTGTTTATCTGGCCAAAACCAAGCTCCCCTGTGACTCAGGGGCTGTGCCCACCAGGTCCCTGGTGGGTCAGACAGGGTGGGTCTGGATCCCAGCAGACAAACTTGCTCTCAGAGAGTCACATCTGCATTGCTAAACACAAGGTCCACACAACCTGAGGTCATCCAGCCACACACTATTGCAAAGGATCTCTCAACTTATTTTGACTACAAATCTCTTCTGTCCTTGCAGTATGCAAAAGCACAACATCTTTAGGAAGAACTCAGAAACAAATTCATCTGCCCAGCACTGAATCCCTGGTGTTTTCAGAGGGGCAAATAGGAAACCTCAGTAACTTAACCAACAATATTGCAAAAATCCATAGCCCACACCAAGAAATAGCAGATGCTCAGGCTTTGTGCTCTTAGAACATTATACCATGTGCCTAAAGTCTGTGTCTGATTAAAGCTTTGAATGAGAACAGTGTGGGTTCTGGCACCCACACTGGGTGCCAGTGTCCAGAAGCCTGGACAACAGCCGTACATGGTATACACTACAGACATAATTTGTAAAAAAAACAGTTCTATGCTGTAATTAATAGAAGCACAGAAGAATACTTTTTTTTTCATGTTGATTCAGATGTGATTTCTCAAAATAAATTGCATTCTAGCAAAGTTTCAGGGGCAATTCAATGCCTCATTAAATCAATGGGTATGTCTAACCTTCCTTTGGTGTGATTCACAGTGATGAGGTCTCACTGTTCAATAAGAAAATTTATTTTTACTCAGTGACTCTTGGATAAAAACTACATAAAAACACCTTGTGCAGTGGGGGAAACCTCTTCAGATCATGCAGTATTTCAGGCACTTTGGTTCTTGTTTTTCCTGGAGCAAACATGCTGTCCTTGTTGAACAGGCATCTGGTATGGGATCCTGGAAGGCATTGGAATTCTTTCGGTTATCACAAATGCATTTGTTATAGCAGTGACATCGGATTTCATCCCTCGCCTTGTTTATGCCTACAAATATGGACCCTGTGCTGGCCAAGGAGAAGCAGGACAAAAGTAAGGCTTTTCTTTTGGAGGGGGGAACAGATGTGCATGAAAATCACTTAGTACTTGAATAGATGCATTATAATTATATACAGATGCAGTTCTGATTCCACTAAACCAAATGTGTTGTTTGTGTTTAGGTAACAGGTACCAGATACCATAGGTACTGATGATTCTTATTCCACTAAACCAAATGTGTTTGTGTTTAGGTAACAGGTACCAGATACCATAGGTACTGATGCTCTGCATATTCACAGAATGGATTGCTGAGTGACTGTGATCCATGAGGTTACTTCAAGGCAAACATGGCAGAGCTATTTCAGAGATTTTGTGTGTGTGACAGGATGCTGCCCAAGCTGTACTTCCCAGCTGGTAGTACATGGATATAATACTGTTTTTTTTCTGAAACAATGCTGATACGAATCAGTAAAGAATTGTTGAGCATCTTAAACTTGTACACTGGGGAGTTTCCTGATGTAATATTCAGCATGTATTACTTTAAAAAGTAATGTCTAGCAAGAGGAAGAAATTTCCAACTAATACATCAATATATACTCACAGAGGAAAGCAATTTGTTTTTCTTCTAAAACTAGAGTTCTTAGATTAAATCTTCCAGGAGACATTTGTGATCTGAATCCCTGCTGCCTAAGTGGATTTTCTCTCAGTGTTGCTAAACACTGAGATTATTTTAGCATGTGCACACTACCAGGAAGCATGAGATAGTTAGTGCATGGCCACTTGTGAAATCTCAGCTGCTGTGCTCCAGGAAGGTCACTGAATCCAGCCAAACACAGACACAGTTTGCAAATGCTCTAGCAGTGCCATTAGCAAGGAACCCTGCTGTACAAAGAAACCCAGGCTAAACAGTAGACAGGGACAGAGAGCTTGCATTCTGCTATTGGACATATGGTAGATTGATTTTTTTACTCCCTGCTGCAGAAAGTGAGTTCATCTGTTGCTGCTTCTTTGACATCTTTTGACTGTCAATACATTTAATCATACTGACAGAAGAAGGGCATCTGGTGTGGCAGCTCCTGATTAGCAGACCTGCCAACTCCTGTCCTGCAAGGATTTGGGCATTTTAGCTGGGGCTAGGAAGGATGTTCTGTTTACTTTCATGAAGAGTTCAAATCCCTTCAGGGGCAAAGTGGTCTGATGCCAGTTGTTCCTGAGCATGTGCCTCTGCTCTTGCCATTATAAAGATCTACAGGACATTGGGGCACTATAAGCAACACTTATTGCTAAGGAAAGCATAAGGAAGGATTTTCTCAGGACCATTGTGGATGAAAAACAACACCTTTAGAAATATTTCTCTTAGGACTCAAATATGACTCAGTGGCTTTGAAACTAGTTTCTGCACTAGGGGAAGTAGTTTGGCTCACAGTTTGGCTCTTATCTTCTTTTCACAAACCTCTAGTACAATGTTTTCACACTTCTGCTTTCACACTCCTTCATTTCTAGATGAAGCTGTCAGGTAGTAATATTTTGAAGGAGCTAACTTGTATTTAAACTGTTTATGTCAGCATTCTGAATAATGTTATTAGTAAGTACTGTTACAAAAGCAGGAAGATATTCAGAAATCCACAGGAATAGTGAGTTTTCTCAGATTAAGGAGTGAAGACCCTCTGTTATTGAATAGCTTAAAAGAGAGAGGGACTCTTTTCTTTCAAAAAACATCTGTAGGTATTAGATCCACATGACACACAATGATACTAGAAAAATACTGGAATTAAATTAAGTTCCAAATGTAATCAGTATGGAGACGAAGCCAGATGGTGTTTGAATTTAATTTCTCAAACACTGTCAAGTCCATATTTAGGAAAACCCAACCCAAAACCAAAACCCCCAACCCTTACTGTGCATTATACTCTCCAGCAAGATAAGTATTGTGTCTACCCTTACCTGTGTTTGGGCAGTGCAGCATGAACAGCACAACACATTTTGGCCAGATCTCTTCAGCTTTACTAACACAAACTTGACACCCACAGCCCTTCAACAGGGGATAATTTCTCCTACTCAGTATTCTCTAAATTTTGCCTGGCCCTCACAGTGTTCAGTCACGCTGGGATCTTCTAGAACGGAGTTCCTCTGATCAACTGGGCATTTTCTAAAAAGCTGTTTTAAGTGTGCTATCTTTCCATCTGATTTAGTGTCCCTTTGTGCTAGTACCATGAGTGTAACAGTGGGGATATTTTGATTATCTTCCTAACATTCCTCATTATTTTCTCTGCCCCTATTGTTCACCATTTAGGTGACTTTTCAAAAGTAACCAGTCCCAATCTTCACCATTCCTTCTCCCATAGAAATCTACCAATGCCTCACTTTTATTGTTCATCTGACCTACTTTAGCATTTCTTTTATATTGCTTCACCATCCCTTTCAAATATTAATAAGCACCAAAATTGTACTTTTGGATTTTATGAAACCCAAAGGACATCCTCCTGGGTACAACAGTTTATGGAAAAACCTTGCTGTGTCCTGCTGACAGCATTTTGTCCCCTCTAGGTGTATGGTTGGCTATGTTAATGCCAGTTTATCAGTATTTCTGGTGTCTGACTTTGAAAACCGTTCAGAGCCAACATCAAATGGAAGTGAATTCTCTGGTTCACCATTAAAATATTGCAGGTAAGTTTCTGGTCAACATACTTCTCTGCTTTAGGACATTGAAATAGAGAAGCATAATAATAAATCTGGAGTTGAAACTAAATTTTAGAAGTTAAAAATTGAAAGTTTCAACTGTGCTGTTCAGAGTCATGCTCTTCTTGGTACTGTTTCGCTGTTACCTGCATGATTCCTTCCTCAGATAAAAGAGAAACCAAAAAGTTGGTATCTGGAGGGTGTTCCTAATGCAGGATTTTTATGGTGTCATAGCTTGACTCAGACACAATCATCATGGATAAATATGGTATCAAAGGGCCAGTAATAGGTGCCTGATTACTTAGGTGCCAGTGAGACCCAATTGTAATGAGATGATGTCACAGGGCATGCACAGGAAGTCAGGGTTGCACAGGAGAGGCCACACTGAGGTGTTCCACAGGTCTGACAGACATAAACAGGCTCTGTCATAAGCTGGCTTTACGAAACCTCAAATCCAGCATTTCCAAATTGTGGAATGGGTAATATGTTTATGTCATTGCTTACTGGTGTAATTATTAGTAATAATCATATACTTGTGGTTTGAATCAAAAGAAGATGAGCAGTTAATCATCTGCACGTCTTTGTCCTCAACAACAGATTGGAGAAATTGCAGTCTGAGAAAAATCTGTAATGGCTGATTTGTACCTGAGTGAATTTGATGGCCAAAAACCCCAAGGGTCTACATAAAGGTCTTAAATAGTGTCCCAACCAAAAATACCAAACAAATACAGCTACCATTTTTTAATTGCAATGTTACATTACAAGCACGAGACCTGGTAGTCTTTAGGAGATACACCTAGTCCCAGTATTTTTCATTGTAAAGAATTAAAAATACTTTTATGAATGCCTAAAGAACAAAAGATACTCTGTGATACCACAGAGGTCTGCGATACAGCAAATGTCAGTGATACTTGCAATATTGTGATGTTTTTATGAATAGGAAGACTTTTGAGTGATATAACATAATAAATGGGGGGAGGGGCATGAAGATGCTACTCCTTAAATTTTAAGATGGAAATCCCACAATAAAAAAAAAAAAAATGTCTGCTCAATATCCCCTAAACAGAACACTATTAAATTTGGTGTGATAAATCTCCAAAAGAGATATCTGTCCTTTTGGGAGACACTGAATTGTTGTGTATATCTACCCTTGAAAGAAAATTAACATCTTTCTTTATCTGAGTTTATCAGCTTCTTATCAAATTCCATTCTACTAAAGCATCATTTTAATTGCACTTCAGAGCAGATATTGATAGGGAGGTTAGGAAATATTATGTTCTACTGTGTAATTGTGTATTGTGTAGGCATTTTTCCAGGAAGGCAGCATGTCTGAAAAAAGTCCCAGTTAGCTTCTGGTTGCCTGAATAGTGCTGTGCTATTCTGGTTGTTTATAAAAGGTTTCCCCATTTTTTCATGGGTAACAATGGATTCCTAGTGAATCCTAGGAAGTAGAATGCTTAGAATATTCTAAAACATCCTAAACTATGAAGTCAGAATGCTACTTGCACAAGGAAAGGTCATCTCAGTTTTTAGAACTTATTCTAGAAATACTGCAATTTCTGAGAGATTTGATGCTAAGATATCAAGACAGTTCATTTCAGTCTGTATAGCACCCTCTGCAATGTAAGAAGGTGAAGCTTCATGGAGAAATACAGATTGTCATAGGGATTAAATAATGTTTATTTCTTTTATGCATCTGCATTTTCATTAGTTTCTTAAAACTAACTTAGTGATCAACCTGTATTTACTATGGTATTTTCAATATTTTTTTACAGTGGATTTTCTGTTCCATCTAGGAAACAGATGAAGAAACGAACAATTTTTACACTACTTTTAAATAAGGTTTCCACAGTTCTATTTTAGAATTAACAAACTGCTAGTAAAAATGGACTCCATAATGTGTGACTTAAACAGATTCATGGTTTGTAAATACAATCTTGGAGTATTCCTGGATTCAACTCTCCCAATAAATATCTACAGTTAAATTTTGGAGACCTAAATTCTTCTAAATAACACTATGAGAAAAGACAGGAGATCACTTTCTCACATGGTCCTCACCTCTTGATATACCAACAGGTGTAGTGCTGGCTCTGCTCAAGTCAGGATGAGTCATGTTTTACACCAGGGTTGGCCAACTAATTGATCAAGGGCCAAGTGGAATCCATGAGGCATTTTTATATGGATTTTGGGAGAACTATCAGGCTGACAAAACTGGGGACATTTATGTCCTTGAATAAAGGGAATAAAGTATCCCTTAAATGAGCAGAGCATCTCACCCTTCTCCAAGTTCTGAGGAGATGCCTGAAAGGTACATGTTGTGCTGCCAAGGGAGATGCTGTAGGGTCAAAGCTCCTCCCATCCTCTGTATTTGTTTCAGGGGTTTTTCTTCAGACACTGGTTTGGGTCCTTTGTACCCAATTTTTATTAGAACTCCTGGAGTGCATCCTACTGGTAGGTTTCAGCTGAAAGTAAGTCCATCTGCATGAAGAAAAGCGTGGGAAGTGGAGGTGGTCAGCACACTTGCTTCAAAAGCAGGCACCTGACCTGAAATCAAGCCCAGCCTTTGAAGCACGCAGCATTAGAGTAACCTGTGCAGTTTGGACTGAGCTCATTTTTGGTGCAGAGAATGTAATGATCAAGAGGAGATAGGTTTTGGGTTTGCCTTCACCCAGGCAGCAGTGTAGAGGTTGCTAACTCCCACACTGTGCTTGTCTTTCAGGTACAGGGACTACCGGGACCCTCCGCACTCGCCTGTGCCCTACGGTTACACGCTGCAGTTCTGGCACGTCCTGGCAGCGCGCTTGGCCTTCATTATTGTGTTTGAGGTCAGTGCCCATCCCGGTGGCAGAACAAAAACAAAAAGAAAACAAATTTCCCTCTGAAGCTTTGCTTTGGGCTGATCTATGATGGCAGCTGTTGAGGTGTTTTTGTGTTTTTTGTCTTAGTTTCTTCTACTTATATCGTGCTTTGTATTCTCGGCTTTGTTTTCTGAACAGTCATAGGAATGTAGGTTCTTACAGAAAAGGGCATATAACACTGAAAACTATAGCAGTGATTTGCAAAGGGGGGGAATAAATGAAGCCTTTATTTACTTTTTTAGTAATTTGTCTAGGTTGGGAAGGCATATGCTTACTGTTGCATGAGGATAGGGGTGAAGGAACATGAGAAGAAAATATTAAATCTGAGCAACTGAGAAGCAATAATAGTTAAAGTTACAGTATTTACACATCTAGCTTTTTTTCTTGTTTTTTTTTTAATGCCTTTCATTCCTCCAGAATGGTTGGCATCACAAAGATGATGACAATGAAAAGGATTCAATATCTTTGTCTATGTTCATAATATTAGTTTTTACAGTCAGTATTTCAGGTGTCTTTAAGGCAAACCAAAGGAGATAATACCAACTTCACATGACTGGTGTTCCCATGCTGATTTTGAAAAAAAGAGCCAGAAGAGTAGACAAATAGGATAAGATGATTTACCAAAAAAAAAAAAAAAGCAGTTTTTAAGGCCTAATTTCAAGAGCCTGAATATCCCCACCAGAATCCAGGAGCTCAACATTTCTCGAGCACAAGAAGTTTGAAATATCTTTTACACTGTGAAGAAGCCAAAGAAGGAACACATCATTTTAGAAAACATTTTACTCAATCCTCTGCTCTGAAATCATAGCAACAGGGCATTCAGCACACATATGGAAACTGTAGTCACCATACTGGCATATATGTAATGTTCATGAGCACATATTTCATTCTGACTCACAGAAGAGTGTAAATTCATTCTGAACTGAGCTTTCAACACACCTCTTTGGATAACACAACAGAAGCATTTGTGTCAGAGCAAAGGTGGAGAAGAAGCATTTTCTAGATTATTATTTCTATTCCTTGTGGTTCAGCAGAAGCCCAAGGACTTCAGCAAATTCCCCATGATTGCAATTTTCAGACCTCCCCAGGTGAAGGAATATGGCACTGCAAGTTGGGCTCTCTTTTTCCTTTACACTGGATAATTTATTAGTTTCCAAGGAGACCATTTCTTCCATCATCTGTTCCACACTCAAGGAAATATTAAAGGAAAGAAAGAGAGAAAGATTTAACAGAGGCCTGTTGGGCTTAATCCCTTCTAGTTTCATGAGCAGTCAGTACTGAAAGTCAGGGTATGCCTCTCCAAAAAGGACTACAAGAATAGTCTTGGAAAGTCAGCCTAAGAATTTTAAAGACTGAAGAGAGTCTGGCCTCTTGATACACACTTGATATAAAGGCAGCACAGCGTAGGCACAAAGAGAAGTGAGGCAAGAAAAATGAGCCCTGTTCAAATCTCAGTGTCCAACCAAATGTGTGACCAACTGTGGAATAACTTTGAGTCTTACCAGGCACATCTGAGTTGACTTTGCTTTTTCTCAACCAAAGCCATAGGCTGGCTCATATCTGCCTCCCTCAATATGAGCCACTCTGTTTAGTGACACTACAAGCTGTCTCCTTAACTATATCTCTGGAATCAAAAAGGTAATTGCAGCAGAAACCATGACCTATTTTTTTTGAAAACACTAAGGGTTGTATTGTGATTGCCGCAGTGCTTACAATAAAGATTGCACAAAGATACCGGGGATTCAAGATAGGTTTTTTCATAAATTAAGTAACTGCCTAGGCTCAGGCCCCTTTTTGGCACTCTGAGTGTGGTTTGTTTTGGATAACTTAACCTCCTTTGAAAACGAACAAAAGTATTTCCTATCACTGCAAAAGGAATTCTTTGTCCAGGCTAAACCGACAGAAGAGGCTTTTTCCTCCTCTTTTTAGGTTTGGCAAAAAACCCTAACAATCAGAGTATTGTGAGTTTATTTATCATGAGGGAAGAATACATGGGAAAACATTTTACGTTCTCTTTTCAGTGGCTTTCAAAAGAAGGGTTCTGCTTGGAGAAGAAAAAATACCTTTATTTCTCCAATCTTGAATGTATGTCCTTTCTGAGATGGAAGATTTTTTTGTTTATCTGTTCTTCCTCTTAAGTGAAGTGAATAAATCTCCAAGCAGCATTTCTGATCAAACAGAAAAGGACACTCATGCAATCCTTGGGCATCAAACTCAAGTTTTGCTGTGTCATGCCTAAAATAGGAGGGACAAAGGGTCAGTCAACTTCTGTTTAACTGTGGTGTTTGCTAAACAGGAATATGTCTTTGGATAAGAGACACAGTGTTGTTTAGGTTTTGTTTTGTATAGATATATTACTGCTTTTGTATAGATTCAACTACTTCAAATTTTGATGTGTTTATGGCAAAAGGAAAATGTTACATCATTTGAGCCTCCTCTTCCTGCAGAGCAGGAACTAATACCAGTACTAACACCAGGCTCTGCCCAAACAACCTTACAGCAAATCATGACCTCTGGGCTTTGAACACACAGGTCATAGAACAGTTTTGAGGCTTTCTTTTAACCCACCTGCTCATAATTTCTGCTGTGACCCACACTTCACTGAGTGGCTGGAGTTTTTGTGGGGGAAAAAACTTCATTGGTTTTTTCCCTTAAAATTTAGTCATGGATTTAGTTTAAACACATATCAGAAAGAGATGGTTTTCACAAGATACGAAAAGTACTTGTTTTCCTCCTGAGGTTTTAAATTTTTCTTTCCTTTTTCTGTGTTCACAGCACCTTGTCTTTTGCATAAAGCATCTGATCTCCTACTTAATTCCAGATCTTCCAAAAGATCTGAGAGATCGAATGAGGAGAGAAAAGTACCTGATTCAGGAAATGATGTATGAAGCTGAGCTAGAACGTCTGCAAAAAGAGCGGAAGGAAAGGAAAAAGAATGGAAAATCTTATCACAATGAGTGGCCATGACAGGATGAGGAAGAAACTGCTCAAAAGAAGATAAGAACTCTTGTTTATAAAAAAATCCTGGTTTTCTACAGCAGAGAGTGCACTGAAAGGAATAGTCAGTAATGTGTGCATTTAGCACATGTGCGCCCCTCTTCAAAAGGGTGGATTTTGTCATAAGCCTTTTGAAATTAGAGGTGTTTCCAAGGCTTAGTCCTCTCCAGAGCTGATGTCAACACGAGCACATCAGACCAATACTAAGTCTCTGCACTCTTGCCAGGAAGTTCCCAGGCCCTGACTAAAACTCAGGGCCCTGAACTTCAAAGCAGTTACACAACTTCCAGTGCTTTACAGAACTTGGTGATCTTCCGGCTCATTCTCATGAAGTTGCTACTTCACAAGCAGTGACTGCGCCTTGGCAACGTGGCAGTGTTTGTCTGTGTGTGTGGCCACCACCTGCAGCACGTGCATGGCAGCGTTGCTCTCTTCCACAGCGGACCCAACCGCGTTAGTTTGCATTTGCCACCGGTTAAGGTCACGTAGCTGGACCATTTCCATTGCTCAACAATACTGAAGTATTATCTAGAAGGAGATGCATGATCATGAGTCTGATCAACTGGCCTGACAATGCTGAAAAATGTAGGCATCAGAAGTGCAGATAGCCAAGCATCTAAATGTGGCCAGAGGTATCTAGCTGTAGGATCATTTATTTGGAAATGACACTGTGAAAAGTTGGTAATATATGTTAAAGTTTTGAACAGTGCCTTTTCAGCTATAGGACTGTCTGATGTCTGAAGGAATGAAATCAGGTTAGGGCATCTTGCCCAGAACTGCCCACAGATTTGTGTTGCCAGATCACATTGAGGCCTAGTCAGGAATTAGGGTGTACTTACACATGTAACACATGTCAGACAGTGTCTTAAAGACCTATCTGCCTAAGTAAAACAAACAAAAAAAGGCAGATGAACAAGGTGAGCAGAATAAAACACAGTCATCCAGAATATCTACACTTGTAGCACTTTCTGTATTCATCATTCCATTATCTATGAAGGGGTGGAGGGAAAAAACAAAACAACAGACTGTAGTATGAAACAGCTTGAAATCCTTAATGCAGAGCAATTCTGCACAGGCTGCAAATGAGACTTGGGCAAAATAAGTCACTGTCAGCATCCTTTAGCAAATTCCTTAATATTGAGAAATTTAAAATTTCTGATTTAATTAAGAAATTCAAAATTTCCAGACTATTAACCCAAAAGAGTGGACTTGTAGCTTTGAAGACATAATTAGTGTTGGATGGAGCAACATGAATCAAAATACTGAGTGTTGTGAAAGCTCTTCAATCAGTTATTTCTAAAAGTTATTCTAGAAGTAATTTGATAGAAGGAGTAGAATTTGCCCTTCTGGACAGACCACGCAATGCAAGATCCTACAGATGGATACCTCAAGCTCCACATGACAACAGGACCATTTGCACTAAGACAAATATCAGCAAATTAGATCTATTAACTTTTTTCCACTGCAAAGGAGAACTGTGCTATTTGCATGAGAGGGGGGAGCTTTGATGGAAGGCAATATGACTTGAGGAAGGAGAGGGATGAAAGAAAATGTGAGCACCCTCCTCTCTGTAGCCACTGCCTGCCTACACAAAAAAGCAAGGAACCTCCTCCAGTAGTGACCCTCCATCCTACCTGAAGAGGATAAATGACATAGCAGCTCCCTTTTATCAGATCCTGGCCCAAGCCTGAAAGTCCCATGAGACAACATAAACACTGAAGGAATATCAGGATTAGTCTGTTCTGTGTTGTCTTGGTGCCAAACTGAGTGGGGAGCACAAGTAGTGGCTGTGGGGTAAATTCCTGACTAATGGGGAAGTGAATTTGTTCATCTTTGCTCACAGCAGCTGTGGACACAGCCCCCAGGACAGTGGGGAAATAGAAATATTTCTGTCTCTGTAAATAGGGGGTGGGGATCAGGCAATGTTGACCTCTAATACACACATGCCAGATGGGTTAGTATTTACCATCCACCACCTACAGCTGCAGCCTGGGAATTTTGAGGCAGGATCACTGTGCAAAATCACATTCAGACTAAATTCACATGAATAATTGGATTGTTTTGGATACCCTTTGTTTAATGTCTAAACCAACAGATGACCAGAGCTTAGAAACTGTTTACTAAGTAGTAAAGTGAGACATGAGCCATGCATAAAATCAGTGTCACCCATATGAGCAAAATGGACCTTTGCAAATCCCTGCAGTAAGACGCAGCTTTGTCAATTTAGATCTCAGTAACTCTGAGAACTGAACTGAAATACAGTAGAATATAAACTGACTTCCACTCCAGAGAAACCACTGCAATAAAATGTGCCAAAACAAATAATGTGCAGCAGAAATGCAATAGCTAATAATTGCTTTTGAGAGTAGTTTTCAAGATAGCTGCATTAGGATGAATTTTCCTGACAACACATTGCTAGAAGATGTGTCCTGCTCTGCTCTAAATAAGATCATAGGGTGGCTGCTTGCCAAGCTTGTGCTGAGTATGATGCTGCAAGGGGCTCTGACCTCCCTGGCAGACCCTGAGTACATCTCTGTCACTTCAGTTTGACCAGCCAACCCATCGAGGTTTCTCTGCTGCTGGTCTGATGAACAGATTTCCCCAGAGTCCTTCAGAGCTACATAGCAGAACACTCAGGAAAGATGCCCCCTTTTTATTTCCTAGAAAAATAAAATACAAATAATAGTATAATAATAAATGGAATTTTAATAGTCTCTAGAGAACTAATTTATGCCATTCTCTTCCTGATCTGATGATGGGTTTTGTTTAAATCTCCATGTGACAGTCCTGTATGTTGTTTATTTATTCCAGCTCCACAAGAGCACTACCTTCAAGAGAATGAGAAAAAACTGCAACCTCAATGCATGGCACAGACATTTTACATAGCAAGCAGGACAGCACACATCAGAGGATTTACTGTGAAATCATCTTGCAATCAGCATAGGATTGCTCTCCATAGGCCATTCTTGACAGCAGCATGTACTTCATGAGCAGTTACACACCAGTTTTTAAAACCAAGGAAAAAATGTATATTGGGACTGTTTTTCAGCCCGTTTGCTAAGTTTTTTGCATTCTGTCCCATGCTGGTTTTACAGATCTTAGAATAAAAAATGTAAATGAACAACCTGGATACTCTGACAAAAGAAAAATCTAGGAATAGAGCATCATCTACGTTCAAGTCACCAAATACTACAACAGAAAACGTGTTTACAAATCAGTTCTTTTTTATTTTAAATCTTTCTGAGGGGAGTTACATTATTGACCATATATATTATATATATATACATATATATAAAGTATATAGAGAAATTGTTTATTTGTAAATAGAAAAATTAAAATTCTATGGAGAAGAATGTCAAGTTTTCACACTTTAAAAAAAATCATCAACATAAAGCCATGTTTAATGCTTGTACAATGTGATGTAATAAACTTTAAAAATAAATAATGCACATGAAATATTTACTGCTTGTCATTCATGAGTTTCTTTCTGTTTACCTTATTTGTTCAGCAAGCAAACTGGCCAGTCAGATAGAAGTAAAATTTAAATGCAGACCAAAAAGAGACAAAATCTGTCACTATTTTCTCTCCGTGGTTCTTTTGTGTGTTCACATAGTCAAATATTGTTACTGTTGTGGTTTTATGGTTGGGGTTTTTTAATGTTTTTACTTAAACAGGTTCCTAATTGTTTTGTCTCATGACCCTGCCAGATGCTCCATGTAATTTGGACACTGCGGAGTGCTCCCACTCCTGTGAAATGAGTCAGTTTTGAGCATCCCACATTTCTTTATCAGGAGAGCTTTTAGCTGAGAGAGATGAAGGATCAGGATGCAGGAGTATGGTGGAGACTCCAAGAATTATCTTGCTTTTACACAGACAAGGAAAGCCTTGGCTTAGAGTTCAGCTAGCAGAAGACAGTATATTTTCCCAGAGAAAATATTATTGAAAATCAATTAATTGTTTTAATTAATGATATCAATTAAGAAGAATATAGGAAAAAATAAAGCCAAAAAAGTCACCTTATAGCTCTGCAGCAGTTATGGGAGGTTAGATAACAAGAAATGGGGTAGCTGCTTAGGTCACCTGCAAAGCCTAAGGGTGTTTGTCTCTAAACTGCTTACTGAAAGATATACTTCCCAGTGAAAACTCATTTTGATGTTATGATTGTGGACCAATAAATATCACCTGGCCCAAACCCAAACTTCACTTCATACCAAAATTCAAGTTAAATGACTGCTCAGTGCTTAAATAGTGACTTCAGCAATAAAGGGGAGGTAAGATGGCAATTAACTTGTTTCCTCTGTTTAAAAAAACTAAGTGAATTCAAAGCACAGAGAAGAGAACTACATTTTTTAAGTCTGACAGCCAGGAAGATTAGTTTTCATGAACAAAACAGGTAGAAGTTACAGATGATCTAAGGCAGCATCAACTACAGCACAGTAATTTCAGCACAGAGTGATGCAGAAAGGACATGCTGATTCTGTTTCACACAGCAGTGACCAGCCACCCTCTGGAGAAGCACATTCAGATGGGAATTCAGCATTTGGATTGGGAGGGCTGTAGCCATACTGGCAGGCACACAGATCAAGTGCTTGCTGCAGGCTTCTGTTCTCTGTTACAGCTCTCTCACAAAGCACAGGTACACAGAGGCACACCAGTCCACTTCAGCACTCTGCAGCAGCATGGAGATAGCAGTACCTACCCTCTTTCAGATCTGTGGGCTGAAAGTACCAGGTAAGTATAAATTGTTATATTCCAAGGCTGAAGAAGTATTCCATAGCACAGAATGCAGTATCTGTTTCTGGGTCATGAAGACAAGGCACAAGGTGGAATGAGCTGCACTTATCTTCTGAGACTTGAGAAGCATAGCCAGCTGATTCAGTCAATGGGCTAATTGTCTCAGAGTAACTCAGACAGTCCCAAAACAGAGATATTCCTGTCCTGAATCCTAGAAGACTTTATTCAGGATGCTATTGTTTGTCTCAGATCTCAGATAAAGGGACACAAGACATAACTCATGGGATCTATCCCACTTGATCACAGCCCTTCCACACAGTGGCTTTAGGCACTGACCTGAACCAGAGCTACAGCAGTGGAGTGGGAAAAGGGGCTGGCCCTAAAGTTTGCACTGGATAATGCAAAAAAATGCTTCAGGAGGCATGGGGGAAAGCTGCCTCCATCACCACATAGTTTTGCGCTGGGTTAGCCCATGGAGTCAAGGCCTTGGTGCACCCACAGAGTGTCTGGCTGCCCTCTTCTCCAGACCTAGTCCTTAGAGCCCATTTTTTCACCTTTCTTTTCTGATCCTAACAGTTCATCTTATACAGTAGATCATCAAATGTCCTCTGTCACAAGGGCACAGAAAAAAATTGATTTAGATGCTACAGGGCCCCAGTCAAGGTAACTAAGCTAGCACTGTGTCATTTTCCAAGTTACAGCAGCTCAGTACTTGGCACAAATGCAGTATAATTTTTAGAAAGCCATTTAAGGCATGCAGTCAGTTTTTCACTTGATTCCCAAGCATGACTGCCTTCTAAGCATCACAGCTCAGCTTTCCTGCAATGGCTTTATTTTTCCAGCTTAACTTTGCTGCTGTAGAAGAGTTTTAAACATTCCTGTATAGCCATAGTAAAAGTCTGAAGCACAAAAACAACACAGTGGGTCAGTCTGTTTCCCACTGTACCCAAAAGCAAGCAGGAGAAGAAAGCAATGGGGGTTTTCACCCTCCCAAAACACCAGCACAGGGCATGGTCTCACGTGTATGGGCTGTTAACCTTCTCTTGGCAGCCCCACCAGAGGATAGGCCATTCCATAAGCCCTGCAGCCCTGGAGAAGCCTCCACTATGTGATATCACCTGTGGTCCCTTCTCCATCCCAGAGAATTGTGCAGGGGGCTCTGCACACCTGCAAAACACAGTATGCACTTGCCTGATCTGATCCAACCTTGAACATGAATTCCTAGAGTGAAAACAAGGACTGCAAGAACACAAAGAAAGTTTCAGCGCATAGCTCTGGAGAGAACTGCTGTGGCAAATGCAGATGCAGCCTTCACTCTTGTCCAGTACAGCCAAAAGGGAATCTTCTTTGTTAACATCTCTGTGCACTGTGCCCAGCCCAGTGCAACAATCCTAGCCCAGCAAGCTGGGCATGCAGCAGAAGGCTGCTGTGGTTCTGGTCTATGGCACTGAATAAAAAGTGCAAATAGATTATTTCCTTCATGAGAACCAGCTCTGTAAGGGCAAGACAGAGGAGAACAGGGAGATAGGGCATGAAAGGACAAACAGTACTGACTCTTGCCTCTACCACCACCAAAGTCACTCTTGCAGCTCACAGCAGTGAGCACAGAGGAGAAGCTGCAGGTAGCCAAGAAACAAGTGGGTTAAAAAAAAAAAAGACAACAAAACCAACAAAATAAATATGCTCTCAGAATCAGTTCTACAGAAGAACCATATAGTACTAAATATGCCTCCTATACAAAAAAAAAACCCCACAGTTTCTTGCAATCTGATAACATCCCACACCCTAATCTCTTCATACTTTCAATGCCTTAAAAGAAAAAAGAAAAAAAAAAAGCCAGAAAAACAACCATGTCTGGGCGAACAGTACTCTTTCCAAATAAAAAATTCACTCTGAGGGTGAAATGAGATTAAAAGCAGATATTTTCCAGGAAGCTCAAAATATCAGGCAAATATTTCACATATTGCTTTAGGCTCTGTCACCAAGAATCAGAGAGAGTGAGGAAGTGCAAGAAAAACCTGATTCCTTTCTTGACTAATGTCAAGGTCATGCAAAGGCGATAGTGCCGCAAAGCTCAGCAGATGCCTGCCCCTGACCCCAGCAGAGCTGGTAACCGACCCAGAACAGGAACATCAACAGTGCTTGATATGAACAAAACTGTCCTCATGGGCTGACACGGCCTTGTGTCATATGTGAAGACCATTGACTTTATTCTTGTCACTTGCAACATCCATTTCAATGTGGCTAAAGGCAGGGTTGTCAGTTCCTTCATTTGCCATGGTAAATGGTTTCCAGTTCAACACTTCCACTTTCTCTGGCTAAAAAAACAAAAGACAAAAGCCATGCTGTGAAACAGAAGAAAGAATCTTCCTCTCTTTGACCTCTCTTTGGCCAGCAGAGTCAGGCCTGACATACAGGGTTGCCTTGCAGGAAAACATGTTGGCTGCTGACAGAGCACAAATACTTATTCATTGCAGTAGATGGTATTTTTCTAGGGGCACTGAAAGTTTTGTATTGCATAAGGTACTTATTGTGTAAAATGTTCTTGTAACACAAAATGTTCTTGTCCTGCAAATTGGTCTGGGTGTGCAAAGTTCTAATTGCTGTTTTCATGTCTACTGATATGTCACCACCAGGTCTTTGAGCTATTGACTCCCAACCCTTCATCCTTGCCCCATCTATGACAGGAAGAGCAGATTAACATGCACCATTGCTTTGATGTCACATTTCTATTATGGAAATGGAATGAGATATTGAGCTCCTCATGTGCAGAAAGTTGCTTAGTTAGCTCTGATTTTTTATCTCATCAACTTTCTGCAGTATTTTTGATTCCAACCACTTGTTATTCAGCTCTTAGCCATATAAGAGACAGACACATAAAGAGACTTGTTTCTGACTCCAGGCATAAAAAAGTATGGCTGTGGACATTAGCTTCCATATGGGTGGTGGATTGTTTTGCTCTTTTTCAAAAGACTTCAGGGATTAAATTCCCAGATAGTAGAAACAGATGTTGACCCATTAAAGGCAGTGAATGACAGTAACTGGATAGCTGATCTCCAGTACTGACATGGGCAAATAGCATTACAATAGTATGGTATAATATCCCTTTTTTTCACTGGTGTTCTTATCCAGAAGCTGAAATACATAGGATCATTCTAGAAGGAGTTGTAAGTATCAAGAAAAAACATTTTGCAAGCTGGACCATCTTAAAGATATGATTATTGCCTGAACTACTGAACAAAGTTGAACTTGAATGCTCAGCTGACAATATTGACTGAAAAGTGATCTGTAGTTTATTTAAAAAAAATAATTTCCCTGTATTCTCCCTTCTAATGGATGTTATTACCCAATAATACTTCCCCTTTTCTTTTTCTTAGGATGAGAGGTATGAAACAGATACACTGACTAGAAATGTTTTTTCTCAAACAGTAGTCAAAGTTACAAAAAAATTCCAACCTAAGAGAACACATGTTCACAAAAAAAGGAATCTTTGCTGAGTCCAAGGTGTGCCTTGGGGTAGCTTCCCAGAGGCCAGTTAGGGAGTATTCTAGCAGAAACATGGAGAAAACTGTCCCTTTTCTCAGTTGCTTCTCTGTTGTTGACTGAAGCTAAGCTATGGCAAAAGCGCTTCCTTGCCTTCGTCCCACCTGCCTTGTGCTCTCCTACTGCCTTAAAGCAGATAGTCCTATCAGGCAGCATCAGGTGCTATTCATCCTGATTGGAAAAAC